AGTCCATAACTTTTTTATAGATCAAAGGATTTTGTAACTACTTGCCACAAATAGTCACTATAATAAGACAATGTGTCATGCGCAACATCTGCATCCCTACCTCCCAAGTAAATACTTGCCACAAATAGTCACTATAATAAGACAATGTGTCATGCGCAACATCTGCATCCCTACCTCCCAAGTTCAAGGTCACACTTAGAGGTCAAAATATAACATATTCTGTTTTAGGGTATATTTTGTACTTCTTCAGGATTTTGAAATAACTAGGCATAAATAGTCACAATAATAAGACAATATGTCAGGTACAACACCTGCACCCCTACCTCCAAGGTCAAGGTCACACTTAGAGGTCAAAGGTTAACAGAGTCTGTTGTATGGTTTATTTTGACTCCCATCTATAACTTCTTTATAGATCAAGGGATTTTGGAAATACTTGGCACAAATAGTCACAATGATAAGATGATATGTCATGCATAACACATGTGTCCCTACCTCCAAGGTCAAGGTCACACATAGAGGTCAAACATTTACATACTCTGTAATTGGGTATATTTTGTGTCCAGTCCATGACCTGGGATTTTAAAAATACTTTGCACAAATAATCACAATAATAAGATGATATGTCAGACGCAAAACATGGGTCCCTACCTCCAAGGTCACACTTAGAGGTCAAAGATTGACATAGTCTGTTATAGGGTATATTTTCTGTCCGATCTATAACTTTTACATAGTTCAAGGGATTTTGAAAATACTTGGCACAAATAGTAATATTAATTAGATGATATGTCATGCACAACACCTGCACCCCTACCTCCAAGGTCAAGGTCACACTAAGAGGTCAAAGGTTAACATGATTTTTACATTCCGTGTTTCATTTTACTAGTATTTCTTTAATAAATTCATTGTTGCTTTTGCAGATATAGCATGGATTATAATTTTGGAATGAAAGTCCTGACATCCATACCTCAATCTTTTGAAATAGCACAATTTTATGCTTCATATAAAACTTCCCCGAGGTGGGGGACGTTGGTAACTCTGTTACAAATTCTTGTCATTTTAGTTTTGACTTAATCTAATAATATTTCTTGAAGATTATTCAAAGTATGTATTTGATATTAAGTAAAGTGCATTTTATGTTTATTTGATTCTGAAAAGTGTTTGTAAATTTAACACCTTTTTCAGATATTTTAATCCTATTCCTATTAACACCTTCAATGTGAGAGGTTAAGATTAATGGACAGTGATTGATATACATACACCTGTAATTATGTGAAGGTCTAGTGATATTCATTCATTTGTTAAATAGCGAAAAAGGTGGTAACAATTATGTTATAGAAAATAAATAAGCAACAACTGGTATGCAATCACATTTCACATTTACTTTTACATTTACTTTTATACAAAATTGATTAAAGAACATGTAGTCATAAAATGAAACAATATATATTACCAAATAACTAATAAATATATTTGTTTATCAACACCTTTTGCTTTTCACAGTTATTTTAATCATTAGATTACACCTTGATGCTTGAATAATGAATTAATAAACACCGTAATTATCTCTCACAGCAAACTTAAACACATATGTGTATTGAACTCCTTTCTTCATTATACAAAAGTATGAAATGTAGCAATTAAAATTTATAAATTTCTTTTTTTTTCTTATAAATTTCAATTAATATTATAATTTAACAATAAACTTATCCATTTATTAAAATTTATCCATTTTATCTAAATACTTCAATAATAGTGTATTAATAAAAATGAAGATGGGGAGGAACTGTCTGCTTATTTGCAAATATGCAGACGGTTCTCCCCCAAAATAGGGAGAGAACCGTCAGGGAGGAACTGGTAAGGGAGAGAATAGTCTGACTACCTTTTCTGCTGATCAAGTATACTTTTACAGGACTGACATTTACTTTTTAAAATGCAAATATTCAAGTGAAAAATTATATTAGAGGCTAAAGACTTATAAAAAAGTTCATTTTCTTAAGAAAACTGTATAGTTTTAGCTTCTTTAACAATTTTCAAGCATTTAAACATTTTCATCCAATCACCTCAAGTAGATTCTACCATTTAACCAATTAACGGTTTTCCTTGCACTTACAATCGCTTTAAAAAATGATTAAACTTGCTTTTGTTGGCAATTATAGTAATGATGTTACAATGTATCACGTGATTTCTACAGTAGCATAGTGTAAGGAAAAGCATGTTGTGTGTTTGTCATGGTCACTTAAGTTGGCAGATTTAAACATCTGCAAGAACATATATATGCTAAAATAGACAAGTGGGAAAAAGTTCACCCCAGCTGCATGCAAGGTCTTAAAATGTACATTCATGATTCTTTTACTAAATATTAGTTTACAAAAGGTCAGAGGCAAAACATTAATATGCCAAAGAAAATAGAATCTGTTTAATAACATGAAAGTCTCATCATAGTGTATCATTTTAAGCCAATAATATGAAATTATAGGTGCTACCTATGGCGCGGAAAGCTCTTATGAATTATGATTTTAGCATAACATGTTTAGTGTACATGTAAACCAGATTTTTCTTGCAGGTATTTTGTACCGTAAACAAAACGAATAAATTGGTGGTGTCATCATCTATCATCAGAGCGCTCAGAATATTCCGAAAATCTCCGAACATAAAGGGGAACCACTGCGCATGCATCGGCGTTTGGAAAATCCCGTCCGACATTTTTGTTAATCTCTATTCACAGTTGTTGTTCTAAAGTTATTTTTTAATGTGCTAATTTACCAAAAAGGATATGTTAAAGTAACTTTTTATATTTATAATCGTTACAATAGTTCTTATCAATGAAATGCATGTTTATTTTAATAATAATAATAATAATAATAATAAAGACTTTATTTAAAGAGGCAACATAGTTAGGCAAGCCCAGTCTTCCCTATGAGCCTCTATCAAAAATGTACATATATACAGTTACAAACAAAGACTTATATAAACAAAGAAAGAAAACTAAATGTATACAAGTTATACAACAAAGAAAAGTTGAGTAATTGAAAAATGCAATAAGAAAATGAATACAAACATTTGAAAGTATGAAATTGTACATTTTATGAGACATACATGTATATATGTGATATTATAACATAGCTAGATTATTTGGTGCCCACCAGAGAACCACCATTTAAGATAATTTGTTTTGAATGTTTGTAAGTTGGAAGAATTTCTTATGTTTAAAGGGAGGGAGTTCCAAAATTTTGAGCCTGAATATGATAGGGATTTTCTGCAGAATTCAATTCTTGGTTTGGGGACTAAAAGAAGTTTTTGTTCATATGATCTTAATGATTTATTTTCTGTATTTGTAAAAAGATTTTGCATATAATCAGGGAGAAGATTGTTTTAGGGACTTGTATACTAAAATGGCCTTTTTATAATTCACTCTATCAGAGAATTTCATCCAGTTCAATTCAGAAAATAACTCATCAGTAGGCGCATCAAAATCTTTATCAAGTATTATTCTTGCTGCACGTTTTTTGAAATTTATACATGTCGTTTAACAGTTCCTTACTGCAATTACCCCAAATAGTGCAACAATAGTCTAAATGAGGAAGAATGTATGCATTAAAGAACATTTTCCTAACTTGAAGATTTAGAAATGGTTTAATTCTCAGAAGTAGATATAGTAAGGAATTGCATTTATTCAGCGTCATCTTGACATGTGTTTTTCCAATTAAGTGTATGATCAACATGGACTCCTAAAAGTTTTTCTGTTTCTGAGAATTGAATGCTTTCATCTTGCAGAGTGATGTTGAAATCACTAGAATTATTGATGATATTGTAGATATTATGTGAAGGGGAAATAATCATTGCTTTGGTTTTTTTGGCATTTGGAATCATTGAATTTCTGGTACACCATTGTTGAATAGAGTCAAGGTCAGACTGAAGATTTATACAGATTGAATTGATAGCTTGTCCAAATACTGTAATGGAAAAGTGTCATCAGCAAACATATTTGAAATGGAATGTGATAAGTGCAAAGGCATGTCATTTATGTAAATAATGAAAAGAAGAGGGCCTAAAACTGAGCCTTGAGGTACACCAGATGTAACATCTTGAGCATTAGAGTATTTTCCTGACACACATACTTGTTGTGAACGATTACTTAAATATGATCTGAACCAAGAAATTGAATTTTTTATCTATTTTATATACAATTTTAGTTTTTTTAATAACAATTCATGATTGATTAAGTCAAATGCTTTTTGTAAGGTCAAGAAATATTGTCCCTATAAGTTTCTCTTCATTTATTGCTTTAATCCAGTTGTCAACAATTGAAGTTAGAGCCGTTTCACAAGAATAATTTGTGCGAAAGCCAGATTGATTTGGTTGAAAAAGAGAGTTAGCTTCAAGAAATGATTTTAGGTGATCACTAACATGTCTTTCTAGAATTTTTGACAGGACTGGTAGTATTGAAATTGGTCTGTAATTGCTTACTTCATTCTTGTTGCCCTTCTTATGTATAGGTGTAACTTTTGCTTTTTTAAATATTGAAGGAAATATGCCATTTGATATACTGAGATTAAAATATCTTTTTCTAAGGGTTTGGAAATAATTTTAGAACTCATTTTAAGAAATTTAGGTCCTATACCATCTAGACCAGTTGATTTTTTGAAATCAAGAGATTGAAGTTCTTTGATTATGAATTGTTCAGTAATTTCTGGTATTGTAAATGGAGAATCAGTCTTTGAATGCATTTCAATAAACTCATGCAGTTTTATTTCATCTTCTTGTAATAAATTTGAACAATTTGCTGGAGCAGATTTAAAAATATCAATGAAATAGTTATTGAAAACTTCAGCTGTTTTTAGTGGGTCTGTAATTTTATTTCCATCTTCATCTTGAATATAACTTGTCTGGTGATTAGAAGATTTCCCTGATAATTGTTTGAGATTTTTCCACATTTCTTTAGCATTGTTTTTATTGTTATTTATTGTTTCTGAGTAGTAACTTTTCTTAGAACTAGAAATCAGGTTTTTAGTCCCCTACCGGTTTACCGGAGGGGACTTTAGGTTTACCCTCCGTCCGTCTGTCCGTCCGTCAGTCCGTCCGTCTGTCCGTCCGTCAGTCCGTCCGTCCACAAAACTGGATCCCGCGATAACGCAAAAAGTACTGAAAATATTTTAATGAAACTTGATATATGGATAGATGGCAGTATGGAGATTATGCACGTCTTTTTCTTTTCTTCCTATGTTGAAAATTCTGGTTGCTATGGCAACAAATAGACTGAAAATATGACAAATTTTACACATAAACTGGATCCCGCGATAACGCAAAAAGTACTGAAAATATTTTTATGAAACTTGATATATGGATAGATGGCAGTATGGAGATTATGCACGTCTTTTTCTTTTCTTCCTATGTTGAAAATTCTGGTTGCTATGGCAACAAATAGACTAAAAATATGGCAAATTTTACACATAACCTGGATCCAGTGATAACACAAAAAGTACTGAAAATATGTTTATGAAACTTGACATATGGGTAGATGGCAGTATGGAAATTATGCACATCCTTTTCTTATCTTCCTATATTGAAAATTCTGGTTGCTATGGCAACAAATAGACTGAATTTCAAGATTTCTTATTCTAGTTTTTAAGTTTTTTGACTATAAGTTCTTTATTTCTTAAGGTATTTTCTTCAAACTTTAAATATAAGTTGCTTGTCATCAACCACATCATATGTGACAAGGTTTACAACTCTAGTACAAAATTTATCAGAATTACCTCCCTTGAACTTAAAATTTTTATGAAAAAAACACGTTTTTTTTAATAACTTCTTTTTCTGAATGTATCTACTTCAAACTTCATATAAATGTTTCTTATTGTCACTCAACATTTGTGAGTGTTCAATACTCTAGCAAGACTATTTCCAGAATTATGCCCCTTTTGAACTTAGACTTTTTTTTGAGAAATTGGTAATTTTTACTCCAACTTCTTCAATCATGATAGGATTTTAAAAATGTTATATTTTGATAACAGGGATGTTTAAAAAATAACTTTAGAGTGTCCTTCAGTCCGTCTGTCTGTACATAAAAACTGTTTCCTGTGATCACTTTTAAAGAACTTTTTCAACAAATTTACTTGGCCCTTCAGAATGTTGCTTGGGCTCTTACCGGTAGGGGACTTATGGATTGCTTGCAAAACTATGATAATTGCTTGTTAACTTTGTTTCTCCAATACTTATAATCTTCATTATTATTTATTTTTTTAGCTTTATCTCTTTGTTTAGAGGCATGAAGAATATCAGGATTGTACCAGTCTGGAAGATGTGTGTGTTTTACACGTTTTCGTTTTAGAGGGGCATGTTCATTTAATACCTGACTAAATAAAGAGTTGAAACAATCCAAGGCATCATTTGGATCTTCAAATATTTCTATCAATGACCAAGGTTGTTGTTCCAGAGATTCAAGAAATTCTTTCTCATCAAATTTTTTAACATTTCGGTACTGTATTATCTGATGTAAAGACTTTTTTATAATTGTATTTGAAATTTTGCGTGTGAAACAAATTGGAAAATGATCACTTATTGACAACTGAGGGATAGTAATTTCAGAAATATTATGAGGGAAATTTGTATATAGGTGATCTATTATGGTCTTTGATGTTTTAGTTACTCTGGTGGGTTCTTCAACAACCTGCTTTAAGTTGAAACTGTTAGTAATATTATTCCAACAAGTGTTGTTAGTAGATAGTGTTAGTGGATCATAATTATAGTTGAAATCTCCAGTTAAAATAATTTCCTTGTTTTCAATATATATCTTATCTAATATTTGTTCTAAATCCAAGTTCCAGTTTGCAGGTGATGATGGGGGTCTGTAAATATATCCTAATATAAACGTTTTTTGTTGATTGTTCTTGATTTCAAGCCAGATGGCTTCAATGTTCTCTTTTTGTAAATCACTCCGCGGAAAACAAGAAAAATTTTCATTAACATATAATATAAGTCCACCCCCATTTGTTTTTCCTGTCCATTCGAAACATTTGATATCCTTTAAACTGGAATTCATTATCTGAGAAGCTGTCATTTAAAAATGTTTCACAAAGTCCAATAATGTCTAGATAAGAATGAGTATGCAACAACATTTTTAATTCATCCAGTTTAGGATACAGATAATGTATATTAAGATGGAGAAATTTCATCCCTTGTTTGGATAAAAAGTTGGGTTCTTTAAAGCTAGAAGGGCTGGTTTGGTCTATAGTGTTATTATCTGTTTTATCATTATTTTTGTATTTGTTTTCAAAAATTAACACTATCAATATTAAAATAATTGGTATTTGAAGATTCTTTATTGTCTGGAAGGACTGTGTGCATATTTGTTTGCTGTTCTAGTAAAAAGACACTCTGATTGTTTTCTATCTTTGAAGGGGTGGGTATCTGTACATCCATGGTGGTAAGTTCCATGCCCCAGGTGGGTGATGGAAGTGTTGAAAGCCCCAGGGGATGTTTGGTCTCTTGTAGTGTTGGTACCGTGGTGTTCTGTATGAGTGGCTGGCTTGACGAAAATTTCCTTGGGTGTTCCTTTGGTTGATGTTGAGTATTTTTCTTATTGTGGCTTTTAATAGTTTTGCAAATACTGCAGCGCCATGACTATTTAGGTGAACTTCATTTGAATAAAGAGATTGATTTGTCTGCTGATTTTTCAGAAAGGAATTTGTATGGTCAATAAAAGTCATACTGTTTTCATTACAGAGGTTTCTTAAGAGTTCATTTGTATTTGATATCTTTTCCGAGTACCTTTTATCTGTTTTCATAGGCAGTATTGAAGAAATGATTATTTTAACATGTGGGTTGATTTGCTTCAAAAGTTCTGTCAGGTCATACAAATGCTGCTTTATTTCCTCTGGCTGATCACCATGCAAGATGTTATTAATTCCAGCATGAATGACAAAAACATCAGTATTCTTCATATGTGGCTGGTTGGCATTGGGGGACATTTTGCTATGGATATCCTTAACATGGGCTCCTCCTTGAGACTTTATCTTAACATCAGTTTTGTGTGTTGACATTTTATCTGTCCTCAATACTTTTGTAACCGAGTCCCCTAGAATAAAGACTGAGTTTTTTGAGGTGTCTTCTTTGTCATTGAGGTCTATTTCAATGGGATTGCGGTAACTACCAGTATTTACAGTTCTGCTTGGTTGTTCTGTGTTTTCATATTTTGGTGCTGATTCTGATTGAGAGTTATCTTTCTTTGTCTGTTTCCTCATTTCTGAACTGAGCAAAGAAATATCATTTGATGATGCTGCTTTCTTGTGGATATTCATCAAGGTGCAAATATTTTGTTTGATGGTAGTCATATCATCCATTATTTCTTTTGAACATTCACATTGTGTTTTATCCTTATCACTTTCAATGCTTTTTATTGCAAATTTATTGATAGTCAGCTTTTGTGTTTCTTCTGTCACGACACTATTTATTTTCTTAAGGTTGTCAATTTCCTCACTTTGTACCAAGCATTTTGCATTTGCCTCTGCCAGTTTACGCTCCAAGGTATCAGATTTTAATGAAATTGAACGAATATGTTTGCTCTGTTCAGAAACTTTTTTCCTGGTATCTTCAAGGGTTGCTTTTATTTTTTCAGCAGAGTCTAAAGCCTTTGAAAGTCTGTTTCCTTGCTCGCTGTACTTTGCCTTCAACTGAGTATTTTCTTTCTCAAGCCTTCTTATTTGATTTTTCATTTCTTCATTTTTCTGTTTTAGTATTTCTGTTTCGTTTCTTTTATTTTCACCTATCTGTGTTGGATTATGAGGATTTTCTAGTGTCAAAGAACAAGGAGAGCTCACATCATTTTTTTCACAAAAGTTAGTAGTGATTACTTTACTGTCAGCTGTTTTACTGTCATCATTTTCTGCAGAAAAAGAGTTATTTGGTTCAAGTATTTCTTTTCTTAGTGTTTGATCATTGTCATGATTGCCATCACAGCATTCTTTAACTTCTATGCTCATTATGTGTTTGGTTGCTTTTTCTCTCAATTTGTTTTGTATGTGTGTTTCTTGTGGTTTTTAGCTCGACTTTTCTATGAAAAGGGGAGCTATCCTACTCGCCCCGGCGTCGGCGTCGGCGTCGGCGTCGGCGTTGGCGTCACACCTTGGTTAAGTTTTTCGTACCACCCCACTTTATTTCAGAAGTATTACAAGTATGGCTTTGAAACTTACCATACTTGTTCACCATCATAACCTCCATCTACAGACAAGAGTACATAACTCTGTCAAGGTTTTTGACAGAATTATGGCCCTTTTTTGACTTAGAAAGTGTATTGAGCTTGGTTAAGTTTTTTGTACCACCTCACTTTATTTCAAAACCATTGGAGGTATTGCTTTGAAACTGACCATACTTGTTTACCATCACGACCTTCATCAACAGACAAGAGGACATAACTCTGTCAAGGTTTTTGACAGAATTATGCCCCTTTTTGACTTAGAAAATACATTGAATATGGGTAAAATCCACTTATTGCCTTAACCCTTTGAGATATTGCTTTGAAACTTTTAATGCTATTTCACATCATTACCCCCATCTGTACGCAAGAGAAGGTAACTCTGTCAAGGATTTGTTTAATACTATTAAATTTATTTAAGGCTCAACTCAGTTTTTTTTTCTTTCTTACCAGCCCTCTTTTGACTTAAACATTTCAAACTTTGCTGCAGTGTTCAAGGGTATCACACAATTCAGTAAAATAATTCTTCACTAAATATCTTAATGCTCATGGCCATTGTTCACTTTAAAAATACAGAGATTCTTGTATTGCCTTTTACTGCAAAAACTTTTTTTATTGGCAAGCAATAAAAAAGTCGAGCGCGCTGTCTTACGGACAGCTCTTGTTTATTATATTGGTGATTTAATGGTGTTGCTGAGTGACTGGCTGGTTTAAAACCACATGTTTCTGATTTGTTTGACAGTACATCATTAAGACATTTGTTGAAATAATCTTTATCAACAGGTGGCCCTCCTTTCTTAGCTACCTTTTCTGCTTTCTTCATTTGTTTAGCAACTTTCAGAAGTCCTTTGTCTGGAGATGGGCCAAATAGTTTGGTAGAAACAGTTGTTAATATGTTACTTGACTTAGATTTTTTCTTCAGCTTAGGGATATATTGGTTCAATGTGTATGGTGAATTTGGTTTGCTCTGTTGATCTACAGTTTCATTTACTTTTGTTGATGTTTTAAGCTTTGTTGAAAGGGTCTGAAAAATGGTATTTTTCCATACTCTGCATCCTGGTCCCTGGATTAGCATAGTTAAGGTATTATAAACTGTTATTACAACCTTTTTGTCTGTAATGTAGATAGTTGTGGATAATCCAGTTTCATCTTTTGTTGGTGTAAATTGATACAACTGTTGTAACAACTCCAATAATTCTTCTTTAGTGGATTGGTGATAAAAATTAATTGACACACAATCTGCCACTTCACTAACAACCATATCAAAAAGTTTTCCATTATTGCAATCAGTATAATCTGCAGAAAGATCACATTCAGAGAAGCCACTAAAGCTGTCACAGTCTGTAGAGGTGTTGACATCCATTATATTTTAAAAGAGTATGATATAAGAAGTTAAGAGGATTAAGTTTTCACATTTTCTGATTTTGTACATTATTCTTTCACCGATTAGCATGCGTCTGCTAGCAATAGTCTGAATTATGTAGACGCTCATTAATAGCGCTCTGATATCTGTATTTAGCTCAAAAGGATTTCAAAATGGCAGCGCCCAGTTATCTAAGGATTTTTTCACAGCTCATTAGGTATATCCCAGGATATATATATTTTTGAAATTTTCATTTACTTTTAATTTGATTTCATTCATGTTATCTAAGAGCGCTACAGCCCTCACGAGGCCTTTGGCCCCGCTCAGACTTTCCGCGTATCAATTTTCTTTAAAGGTGTTAATATGTAAAGATTGATGTTTTTTTGGTTCTTTTTTATTAGCTCACCTGTCACAAAGTGACAGGGTGAGCTTTTGTGATCGCTTTTCGTCCGGCGTCCGTCCGGCGTCCGTCGTCCGTCCATAAACTTTTGCTTTAAATGACATCTCCTCATAAACCACTAAGCCAATTTCATCCAAACTTCACAGGAATGTTCCTTTGGTGGTCACCTTTAAAAATTGTTCAAAGAATTTAATTCCATGCAGAACTCTGGTTGCCATGGCAACCGAAAGAAAAATCTTTAAATATCTTCTTTTAAACAACCCTAAGAGCTAGAGCTTAGATATTTGGCATGAAACATCTTCTAATGAGTGTCTACCAAGTTTGTTCAAATAAAAGCCCTGGGGTCAAAATTGGCCCCGCCCCAGGGGGTCATTGATTTTCCCTATATGCATATAGTAAAAACTTAAAATATCTTCTTCTAAAGAACCCAAAGAGCTAGAGCTAAGATATTTGGCATGAAACATCTTCTAGTGAATGCCTACCAAGTTTGTTCAAATAAAAGCCCTGGGGTCAAAATTGGCCCCGCCCCGGGGGGTCATTGATTTTCCCTATATGCATAATTAGTAAAAACTTAAAAATCTTCTTTTAAAGAACTGTAAGAGCTAGAGCTAAGATATTTGGCATGAAACATCTTCTAGTGAATGTCTACCAATTTTGTTCAAATAAAAGCCCTGGGGTCAAAATTGGCCCCGCCCCAGGGGGTCATTGATTTTCCCTATATGCATATAGTAAAAACTTAAAATATCTTCTTCTAAAGAACTGTAAGAGCTAGAGCTAAGATATTTGGCATGAAACATCTTCTAGTGAGTGTCTACCAAGTTTGTTCAAATAAAAGCCCTGGGGTCAAAATTGGCCCTGCCCCAAGGGGTCATAGATTTTCCATATATGCATATAGTAAAAACTTAAAAAATCTTTTTTAAAGAACCCAAAGAGCTAGAGCTAAGATATTTGGCATGAAACATCTTCTAGTGAGTGTCTACCAAGTTTGTTCAAATAAAAGCCCTGGGGTCAAAATTGGCCCCGCCCCATGGGGTCATTGATTTTCCCTATATGCATATAGTAAAAACTTAAAAATCTTCTTTTAAAGAACTGTAAGAGCTAGAGCTTAGATATTTGGCATGAAACATCTTCTAGTGAATGTCTACCAAGTTTGTTCAAATAAAAGCCCTGGGGTCAAAATTGGCCCCGCCCCATGGGGTCATTGATTTTCCCTATATGCATATAGTAAAAACTTAAAAAATCTTCTTTTAAAGAACCCAAAGAGCTAGAGCTAAGATATTTGGCATGAAACATCTTCTAATGAGTGTCTACCAAGTTTGTTCAAATAAAAGCCCTGGGATCAAAATTGGCCCGCCCCAGGGGGTCATTGATTTTCCCTATATGCATATAGTAAAAACTTAAAATATCTTCTTTTAAAGAACTCAAAGAGCTAGAGCTAAGATATTTAGCATGAAACATGTTCTAATGGGTGTCTACCAAGTATGTTCAAATAAAAGCCCGGGGGTCAAAACTGGCCCTGCCCCGGGGGTCATTGATTTTCCTTATATGTGTATAGCAAAAACTTAAAAATCTTCTTTGAAAAAACCCAAATAGCTAGAGTTTAGATATTAAGCATGAAACATCTTTAAGTAAATATCTACAAAGTTTGTTCAAATAAAAGCCCGGGGGTCAAAACTGGCCCTGCCCCAGGGGTGTCATTGTTTTTAACTACATTGTATATGTGTATAGTAAAAACTTTAAAAATCTTCTTTTAAAAAACCTAATGAGCTAGAACTTATAGATGTTTAGCATGAAACATCTTCTTATGGGTGTCTACCAAGTCTGTTCAAATAAAAGCCGTTGAGTAAAAAATTGGCCCGGGGGGGGGGGGGGGGGGGGGGGGCTATATACAGGTGAGCGACCTCAGGGCCATCATAAATTTCTTTTCTATTTGTTAAAGTTAACTATCATTTATACTTGATACACAATTTTTTTTCTGAAATTTATAGATTAATTAACCAAAATGTATTTTTTCAAGAGGTGTAAAGGTAGTTATGGATAGCACTGTACATGTATGTAAAGAGGTATCATATGCTTGTCCATTTATGATTAATCAACATGTTTCTCAATGTACATACATCACTACACACATAAATTTGAATGTGGAAAGAATTTAACCAGCAACAGATTTTGTTTTGATATCATATAAGGAAAACCTCTTTTACAGGTTTTAATTTGTAAGACAAGTTATCTGATTGTGCAATAAGATTGAGAAAATTGGCTGTAAAAGTTATTGACCAAGGAACAAGTTGACAAAAATAGTAACTAGTTAACCAACGTCCAATGGACAAGTGGATAAAAGGACCAGCTTACTTGAAATTGTCCCTGTGCACCATCTGTGCAGGGTGGGTCTTTTACCTGCCAGGGATTTGAAAATCAGAGTCGCTGTTATCACTCTTTGCCTTATAGGCAGGGTTACAATTGAAGGTGCATTATCGTGTGGTATGTTTGGTGATATGTTAAATCATCAAGATAGGGTCATGTAATTGTTTCTTTGGTCAAGCCATTTAATTGAAAATAATTCCAAGGGCAAAGCTAATGATTATGTTTAACCTAGGAATTAAGATGTCGTAAAACATAATCATATTGATTAAACTACACATTTCAGGTGATCAAATATCAAGTTATGAGTGAGAAGAAACCATTCGTAAAACCAGAGCCACCAGAGGGCGGATGTCATTTCTTTGTGGATCGTAAAAGAAGATATTGCCGGTTCAAACCAACAAAGGATTCAACTTACTGTGCTGAACATGCTAGTGTCTTTGGAGTAAGAATTAAATACTTACAGCTTTACTTTGATGACTCATTTTATGTTCAGATATATAATTGTTTAATCAGTAAAATGATTGCCACCATAACAAAAGGCAAACATACTGTCCAGAACATCAAACTATTCATTTATATTTTGTCTAAGCTAATATATTGATCTGTAGCACAAATAATCTTATATGGATGACAGCATTGTCGTGTTAGTTGAGGTCACTACATTGTCTGACAATAACAAAGATGTAATTTCCTACATAGAATAAAATGAATGTCTGTGCAGCTGAACTATTTGATGGTTTGTTTACTACTGGTAGAAGCTTATAGTTTAGTTAACATAAAGATTGTGTTGAAATGTATATTTAATTTTAATTAAATGGTAGCATAATGGTTTTTTATTATACCCCCAAAAACGAAGTTTGGGGGGGTATATAGGAGTCACCCGGTGGTCGGTCGGTCGGTCGGTTGGTCCAGACGTCCGTTGCATTTTCCTTGTCCGGAGCATAACTTGAAGACTAATGGTTGGAATTCAATATAACTACATACAATGGTCAAGCACATTGAGAGGAAGTGCAGTTCACAAGAACCATAACTCTATCTTGACTAATTACAGAGTTATTGCCCTTTGTTACTTTTCCTTGTCCGGGGCATAACTTGAAAACTACTGGTTGGAATTCAAAACAACTTCATACAATTGTCAAACACAATAAGGGGAAGTGCAGTGCACAAGAACCATAACTCTACCTAAAGTAATTACAGAGTTATTGCCCTTTGTTGCTTTTCCATTGCTTTTTTTTGTCCGGACCATAACTTGAAGACTAAATGTTTGAATTCAATATAACTACATACAATGGTCAAGCACATTGAGAGGAAGTGCAGTGCACAAGAACCATAACTCTATCTTGACTAATTACAGAGTTATTGCCCTTTGTTACTTTTCCTTGTCCGGGGCATAACTTGAAAACTACTGGTTGGAATTCAAAACAACTTCATACAATTGCCAAACACAATAAGGGAAAGTGCAGTGCACAAGAACCATAACTCTATCTAAAGTAATTACAGAGTTATTGCCCTTTGTTGCTTTTCCATTGCTTTTTTTTTGTCCGGACCATAACTTTAAGACTAATAGTTTGAATTCAATATAACTATATATAATGGTCAAGCACATTGAGAGGAAGTGCAGTGCGTAAGAACCATAACTCTATCTTGACTAATTACAGAGTTATTGCCCTTTGTTACTTTTCCTTGTCCGGGGCATAACTTGAAAACTACTGGTTGGAATTCAAAACAACTTCATACAATTGTCAAACACAATAAGGGGAAGTGCAGTGCACAAGAACCATAACTCTATCTAAAGTAATTACAGAGTTATTGCCCTTTGTTGCTTTTCCATTGCCTTTTTTGTCCGGACCATAACTTGAAGACTAATGGTTGGAATTCAATATAACTTCATACAATGGTCAAGCACATTGAGAGAAAGTGCAGTGCACAAGAACCATAACTCCATCTTGACTAATTACAGAGTTATTGCCCTTTGTTACTTTTCCTTGTCCAGAGCATAACTTGAAAACTACTGTTTGGAATTCAATACAACTTCATACAGTTGTCAAGGACATTAAAAGGAAGTGCAGTGCACAAGAGCCATAACTCCATTTTGACAAAATACAGAGTTACTGCCCTTTGATGCTTTTCCTTGTCAGGAGCATAACTTAAAACATACTGGTTGGAATTCAAAACAACTTCATACAATGGTCAAGCACAATAAGAGGAAGTGCAGTGCACAAGAACTATAACTCTATCTTCAGTATTTATAGAGTTATTGCCCTTTGTTCCTTTTCTTTGTCTTTCTGGACTTATTACAGAGTAATTCAATTAAACTTCATCAATGGCCAACCACATTGAAAGGAAATGCAACATATAAGAACCACAATTATCTTTAATTGCCCACAACCATAACTCTATATTTCAATTCTTTTACAAGGTATTCTATTAAAAGTAACATCCTCATTTCAGAAGCAGTCTTGTGGGGGTATTAATCACATTTAGTGATACTTCTAGTTTATCTTGATAAGCTGCTAGCAGACATTTTTCCATTCCATTTTTGTTGATACATATATTTTGTCCTGATATTGTTTAAAGTACATTGTAATTAAATTATTAACAGAAATTTAATTTTTAGGTTGATTTGGGAAGAAAGAGAATTGAATGCCCATATGATTCGAAACAGTGAGTTAAATTACTAAAGTAAAAATTAATATTGAATCTAAAAATTTTGATGCTGTTTTTGAAAAAGAAATAATAGTAAAACAACTATGTGCTTTTACTTTTACAAGTGGCAAAAATATTCAAAAAAAGAGCATTTAGATTTATTTATAATTTGTGAACCATTTAGTAAAGGTTTTTTTACCCCGCGCACAACAAAGTTGTAAGGGGGGTATACTGGAATCAGCTTGTCCGTCCGTACGGCTGTCCGTCCGGCCGTCCGTCCGTCGTTTTTTTCTTCTCCGCCCAATAACTTAAGATTCCTTTGACCCTTAGTCTTCATATTTGGCATGGAGGTTAGTCATGATTAGTAGATGACCCCTATTGATTTTGAGGTCACTAGGTCAAAGGTCAAGGTCACAGGGGCCTTGACTTCAAAAAGCTTGTCCACCCAATAACTTAAGATTCCTTTGACCTACAGTCTTCATATTTGGCATGGAGGTTAGTCATGATTAGTAGATGACCCCTATTGATTTTGAGGTCACCAGGTCAAAGGTCAAGGTCACAGGGGCCTTGACTTTAAAAAGCTTGTCCGCCCAATAACTTAAGATTCCTTTGACCCACAGTCTTCATATTTGGCATGGAGATTAATCATGATTGGTAGATGACCCCTATTGATTTTGTGGTCACTAGATCAAAGGTCAAGGTCACAGGGGCCTTGACTTCAAAAAGCTTGTCCGCCCAATAACTTAAGATTCCTTTGACCTACAGTCTTCATATTTGGCATGGAGGTTAGTCATGATTAGTAGATGACCCCTATTGATTTTGAGGTCACCAGGTCAAAGGTCAAGGTCACAGGGGCCTTGACTTCAAAAAGGTTTTCTGCCCAATAACTTAAGATTCCTTTGACCCAGTCTTCATATTTGGCATGGAGGCTAGTCATGATTAGTAGATGACCCCTATTGATTTTGAGGTCACCAGGTCAAAGGTCAAGGTCACAGGGGCCTTGACTTCAAAAAGCTTGTCCGCCCAATAACTTAAGATTCCTTTGACCCATAGTCTTCATATTTGGCATTGAGGTTAGTCATGATTAGTAGATGACCCCTATTGACTTTGAGGTCACCAGGTCAAAGGTCAAGATCACAGGGGCCTTGACTTCAAAAAGCTTGTCCGCCCTATAACTTAAGATTCCTTTGACCCACAGTCTTCATATTTGGCTTGGAGACTAGTCATGATTAGTAGATGACCCCTATTGTTTTTGAGGTCACCAGGTCAAAGGTCAAGGTCACAGGGGCCTTGACTTCAAAAAGCTTGTCCGCCCAATAACTTAAGATTCCTCTGACCCACAGTCTTCATATTTAGAATGGAGGTTAGTCATGATTATTAGATGACCCCTATTGATTTTGAGGTCACCAGGTCAAAGGTCAAGGTCACAGGGACTTTGACTTCAAAAAGTTTATCTGCCCAATAACTTTAGATTCCTTTGACCCACAGTCTTCATATTTGGCATGGATGTTGATCATGATTAGTAGATGACCCCTTTTGATTTTGAGGTCACTGGATCAAAGGTCAAGGTCATAGAGACTTTGACTTCAAAAAGTTTGTCCACCCATTAACTTAAGATTCCTTTGACCCATAGTCTTCATATTTGGCATGGATGTTGATCATGACTATAAGGTGACCCCTATTGATTTTGAGGTCACTGGGTCAAAGGTCAAGGTCACAGGGACCTTGACAAAAAAAAAAGCTTTTCTTCTCAATTGCTAAAGAATGTCCTGTCCGCAATGTATTGATTTTGACATTTTCACATTTGAAGCATGTAGAATACATAACTTAGCAATGCACTGGCTTAGTAACCTCAGATTTGGCAGGGAGGTTGTCCTTGAGCTCTAAATGGCCACTGTTGATTCTGACAAAGTGGTATGCGGGGGTATTCACGCCATGATAGTGGCAGTTCTAGTTTTGACTAATGCAGTCACCCATTTGTCGGCGTTGGCGTCCCTGTGGTTAAGTTTTTGCGTGTAAGCAAGTATCTTCATAACTACTGAAGGGATTGGATTGTAGGTTCACACACTTTTTCTCTGTGATTATCTAACATGATTAGAACAAGTCCCATAACTCCGGTTGTTTTTTTGTGTGCATATTTATGCCCCTTTTTCGACTTAGAAATTCTTGGTTAAATTTTTGCGTGTAAGAAAGTATCTCCATAACTACTGAAAGGAATGGATTGTAAGTTCATTCACTTTTTCTCTGTAATTATCTAACATGATTAGCACAAGTCCCATAACTCCGATTGTTTTTTTGCATCTTAAAGTGACATTATGCTCATATTTTCATTGTCAAGTTCAGGTGAATGGACTTTATATTTCAAAAGATTGACTGTTTAAATGATGTTTGACCAACAGATTATATTGGAGAATGTTAAGGATAAAATTTGAAATCTGCTTAAAATATAAAAAGACTGCCCCACTCTTTTTATAAATTGAACGTTACAGGTAGATTCTAAATGACATTCACTGAAATTGTGTTCGAATCTGGTGGTTATTTATTTTTTATGCAAAGTAAATTATTAAATCAAAAGGAATGATGGCAAAATGAAAATTTATTTTGACTCTCACCTGTTCACTCACTATATACCTTTAGATGGGCATAATGTCACTTTAATGCCCCTTTTTCGACTTGAAATTCTTGGTTAAGTTTTTGCGTGTAAGCAGACCTGTATCTCCATAACTACTGAAGGGATTGGATTGAAACTTCACACACTTGTTCTCTGTGATTATCTAATATGATTGGCACAAGTCCCATAACTCTGATTTGCTTTTTTGCATAATTATGCCACTTTTTTGACTACTGAAGGGTTTGTGCCTTTTTTTGGGACAATTTTATGCATTCATAATAATGAAGCAGTGATTTACTTGGTAAAACATCTTAATAACAAACCTTTGTACCTTTTTGGACAATTTTATGTATTCATATAGGTAAGTATTATTATTCTCAATGAAACACCCTTTTGACAATTTTTTCGAATAGTCGAGCATCGCTGTCCTCCGACAGTTCTTGTTTTATAATGGTGCCAGTTTAGTTTGAGCTTCTGCTCTTTATTGTATATTTATATGTGATTCCAATTCTTACCAAATATCTCTTGCAGTACATGCTATGCTGACAAACTAAATCACCATATGAAGAAATGTCCAAGTAAACCAAAGCAAATGCCTGTAAGTTAATATTTCTCTTATAATGTTAATTTATCATTCAAAGTTGTTTTTGCTTAACTATTTATTTGGAGTTGTGCAGTTATAGGTTATCTGGTGGAATTCTTGTTTTTATTGTATAAAATTTATAACAGTCATGTTTTGATGTCTATGATAAAAATGGGACTAGAAATTGGTGCACAATCATGGAGAAAGCTTTGTATATGTGTTAATATTGTTTGATACAGGTACAATACATACAGGAATAAATATCTTATAATTTCAATCCACCATGCAAATTAAATATACTGGTAGGAAATCAATGTATCTTATGAAGAAGTTCTAACTCACGTCTCAGAAAGAAAACATATTCTTGGAACCTTCATCATAGTACATGTAAGTGATATATACCTTAACTGATATTAATGTACTCATGTAAAAATGTAAAAACTCTTCTTATAAATTTTATTTTATAAGTTTACTTTACTAACATTTTTCACATTCTCAATTTTTTAAAGAGAGAACATTCGTCCTACACTAGGGACTAACATAATAATTCTTTCTTTCAGGCTTACTACAGTGCTGGAATAAATTCCGGAGATGATGCTGGCGAGACAGTTCCTGATCCAAAAGTAATTTACTTTCTTACTTTCTTCTGTTTATAATCTAACTTCTATCTTCACACAGTTGTTAGCCAACTATCTTTATAGAATATGATACACAAATTCAGTGACTCTTTGAGAGGATTGTTCCATCTTACTGTTGGACGTAGACATAAACAACAAGTGTATTCTACTAAACCTGATATTGTTCAGCTTACCTTTATGAAGACTTTGTTAATGAAAAATGTATAGATTTTTGTTTGACTTTAACTGGCAAGAATAATCTTAATTAAATATATAATTATGCATGTATATATATTCTAAAAATTTAACAATTCTGCAAATTAACACACAATTCAATTTTTTTCTACTGACTATATGATGAACAAACAAAGAAACGTAGAATTTTGTCCTGAATATTGTTCAACTTGTACAATTATGATTGTACAATGTATTAAGATATGAGCCGTGCTATGACAAAACCAACATATTGCATTTGCGACCAGCATGGATCCAAGCCAGCCTGCACTCCGTGCAGTCTGATCAGGATCCATGCTGTTTGCTTACAAAACCTATTACAAGTAGAGAATCTGATAGCGAACAGCATGGATCCTGATCAGACTGTGCGAATGCACAGGCTGGTCTGGATCCATGCTGGTCGCAAACGCAGTATGTTGGTTTTGTTGTGACGCGGCTCACAGCACTATAAATTTTATATTACAGGAGACCGTGTTGACAGTTCCTATAGAGGAGTTACAGTCTTTCATTGTAAAAGTGAATAAGTTATATGATGGTAAGTGTTTATCTGTATCATTTATAAACCTTCATATAAACACTTTTTTTAACAGTTGACAATTAAACTCCTGCTGCAGAATCGTTCTTACTGAATAGTCATTTAGATAATATCATAGCATTTAGACATTCTTTTATTAATAAAACATTTAAAAATCATTTTACAATGCCAATGGTCCCTATCAAGATTACTAAAGACCATGTAAATATACAACTCATTGTTTGTAGCAATGTTCTGTCTACAGTGAACCTTTTATATACCTCCCAAAGCATATTGCACTATAATTGGTATGTAGCGACTCCCTGTGAGATGTGTTTAAAGGCTCTAATATTTAATCCAAAATTAGTTATATCATTTCTTGTAATGTTTTAGAACATGTAGGAGTATTAGAGGAGGAAATACTGACACATGAGTGTCTCAGAGACGAGTTAGAAAATCACTCATACGGCAATGCTGCTTTACGTCACAGAAAACAACAGGTGTGTGACCGTTATCTCTTACTCACTTTGATTAAAAAACATTTTTAATTGATTCTTTAGTGAATTCTTTTTTTATTGTATTGCTGGTTTTAACTGGATTTCTTTTATTTGTAGTTCTCTTTTAACAGTTTTTAGATTTTTTTCTTCGGTTTATTTTGTACTTTTTAACAGATCATTTTTGTGATTGTTTTTACATCTAAATTATAACAGGTAAAGTTTTCATTAATTTATTCAGGCATCACTTATAGGTCAGATGGAGAAGTTGGGCTTGTTGACAGAGGGGAAATGTTTCTTGGAAATGGGGGCAGGGAAAGGTGAGTTGGCTTGATACATCACATTAGTAAATATATTAATCCAGGGACATAAGTAGGTGATATTTTATTAAAAAGGAAATAATGTCTGTTAAAGTATCAAGATAAAATATCAAGTAAAGGAGCTAATAGTCATTAAGATTAATGATGATGTTGTTTTGTAGGTCAGTTATCACATTGGTTACATGGTGCTGTAGAGAAATATAAAGATATAGGATTTGTGTTGATTGATAGAAGTCATGTTAGAAATAAGGTAACTTTTACATATTTATTGATCCAGTTTCTAATATCAAAAAATGTTTATTTTTATTATCTCTTGAAAAACACACAACCAACATGGGCCAGTTTGATAATCCAATCTTTTTCTCAAACTAACTTAGATACCATTTATCATAGGGCTTATTTGACCTCTATTTGAAATAAATCATATCTAGATATTTTTGCATGAATTTCTGCCCTTAGATATTCAACATGGCCAAATATACATGTTTGTACATGTGCTCATAGAGCCTTCAGTTATTTATCTTTACATTAGAAATTTAGTCAAATTTAGATGGTTTGAATGAATGAAGAATATATTATGTTATTTCAGATGGATAATCTACATAAAGAGGAGATGATTATGGAGAGAATAAAGATTGATATTGAACACCTCAGACTTGGTATGTATAGGAGATATACACTTTCAAGTTACAAGCAGCTTATAATTACATGTGTCTGTATTGAGTTGGTGCCTTTAAGGACGTTTTTGGGAGTTTTCATATAGACATATAGGCAAAATTAAAACTGTTCAATAGAATTTATTTAAACTTAGCACATTGTTAGAATATGATATCAGAAACATTTTAAGCGGGAAAAAAATGGGGTCACCATTCTCATTTTCGAGTTATCTGCTCTTGAATTTGAGTTTTTCGTTAAATTCAAGGGCAGATAATTTACAATGAGGGGAAACAATACAATTTTTTTCTTATTTTCATGAAGCTTACCTTCCTTTTAGTCGATATGCAAAATTTCAAGAACAAATTTAGAGTGGGTAGTTTTTTTTCCATATTTTCTTTTTACCTGTGCATTTTTTCTTAAAAAATGCCCTATTTATGCCCCCATTTCGAAGAAAAGGGGGTATATTGCTTTGCACTTGTCGGTCCGTCGGTCCGTAGACCAAATGGTTTCCGAGTGATAACTAAAGAACCCTTAGGCCTAGGAACTTCAAACTTGGTATGGTGATTGGTCATGACCAGTAGATGACCCCTATTGATTTTGGGGTCAAGGGGTCAAAGGTCAAGGTCACATTGACCTTGAAAGCAAAAACGGTTTCCGATCAATAACTAAAGAACCTTAAGGCCTAGGAACTTCAAACTTGGTATGGTGATTGGTCATGACCAGTAGATGATCCCTATTGATTTTGGGGTCAAGGGGTCAAAGGTCAAGGTCACATTGACCTTGTAAGCAAAAACGGTTTCCGATCAATAACTAAAGAACCTTAAGGCCTAGGAACTTCAAACTTGGTATGGTGATTGGTCATGATCAGTAGATGACCCCTATTGATTTTGGGGTCAAGGAGTCAAAGGTCAAGGTCACATTGACCTTGAAAGCAAAAACGGTTTCCGATCAATAACTAAAGAACCTTAAGGCCTAGGAACTTCCAACTTGGTATGGTGATTGGTCATGACCAGTAGATGACCCCTATTGATTTTGGGGTCAAGGGGTCAAAGTTCAAGGTCACATTGACCTTGAAAGTAAAAACGGTTTCCGATCAATAACTAAAGAACCTTAAGGCCCAGGAACTTCAAACTTTGTATGGTGATTGGTCATGATCAGTAGATGACCCCTATTGATTTTGGGGCCAAGGGGTCAAAGGTCAAGGTCACATTGACCTTTTAAGCAAAAACGGTTTCCGATCAATAACTAAAGAACCTTAAGGCCTAGGAACTTCAAACTTGGTATGGTGATTGGTCATGATCAGTAGATGACCCCTATTGATTTTGGGGTCAAGGGGTCAAAGGTCAAGGTCACATTGACCTTGTAGGTAAAAACGGTTTCCAATCAATAACTAAAGAACCTTAAGGCCTAGGAACTTCCAACTTGGTATGGTGATTGGTTATGACCAATCAGATGACCCCTATTGATTTTGGGGTCAAAGGTCAAGGTCACATTGACCTTGTAGGTAAAAACGGTTTCCGATCAATAATGAAAGAACCCTTAGGCCTAGGGACTTCAAACTTGAGATGGTGATTGGTCATGATCAGTAGATGACCCCTATTGATTTTGGGGTCAAGGGGTCAAAGGTCAAGGTCACATTGACCTCTTAGGTAAAAGCGGTTTCCGATCAATAACTAAAGAACCCTTAGGCCTAGGAACTTCAAACTTGGTATGGTGATTTGTCATGACCAGCAGATTACTCCTATTGATTTTGGGATTAAGCCCAAAGGTCAAGGTCACAATGACCTTGTAAGTAAATACGGTTTCTGATCAATAACTAAAGAACGCTTCGGCCTAGGAACTTCAAACTTGGCATGGTGATTGGTCATGACCAGCAGATGACCCCTATTGATTTTGGGGTCAAAGGTCAAGGTCACATTGACCTTGTATGTTAAAACGGTTTCCGATCAATAATAAGAGAACCCTTAGGCCTAGGAACTTCAACCTAGGCATGGTGATTGGTCATGACCAGCAGATGACCCCTATTGATTTTGGGGTCAAGGGGTCAAAGGTCAAGGTCACATTGACCTTGTAGGTAAAAACGGTTTCTGATCAATTTACTAAAAACGCCTAGGCCTAGGAACTTCAAACTTTGTATGATGATTGGTCATGACCAGCAGATGACCCCTATTGAGTTTTGGGTCAAGGGGTCAAAGTCATGACCAGTAGATACTTTATAACCCTTATTAATTGTTTGATCACTGGGTCAGAAGTCATGCATAATAACCTTATCACATGACTAATTGGCTGCTGATAGGGGGCATACATGTTTTACAAACATATCTTGTTTTTAAGAATTTTAAAGTACCTTTATTTTCATTGAAAAAAAATAACAGAAACGATATAAGGAATTGCATGTTATTATGTATTGTACTCAACAATAAAAAGAAAAACATAATCCAGAAGTAAAATCAAGAATTGGTTTAAGTATATATAAGTTATCTGCCCTTGAAATGACCTCAATTAAGTAGAAAATTCTGATTCAGGGGCAGATAACTCAAAAACAAGAACGGTGACCCTATTTATTTTTTTTTGCTTAAAATGTTTCTGTTATCATATTCTAACAACATGCTAAGTTTAAAGAAATTCTATTGAAAAGTTTAAATTTTGCCTATATGTCTATATGAAAACTCCCAAAAACATCCTTGAAGTGATTTCTGTAGTAAAATGCTAAGAATAAGCACAGTCTATAGTATATAGTTTGGAGCATGCTTGTATGTTGTTTCATATTGATAACATAAGCAAGTCATTGCTGTTGTTACTGCTACTGTTGTAGAAAAAATAGGAAGATGGTGACCTCCTTTTAGTTCAATCAAGGGGATATCCTCCAAACTTTTATGGTAAAAGCAAAAAGCAAACATTAAAACTTTAATTATGGAAATATACCATTCTTTAAAATCCCTCGACCTGTGGGACCTTGTCATGATAACTTCACCATGTTTAAATGTTGAATGTAGTGATATTTATAATTTTGTCAACAATTTGTGGAAAAAAATGTATGAACTCTGGACATAATCACAGGTATTTATTTTCAGGTAAAGTTCCCAGTATAGAGTCACATGACAGAGGTGTTGTAGCATTTGGTAAGCATTTATGTGGACCAGCTACAGACCTTGCATTAAGATGTGCCACAGAAACTTTATCTATAGAGGGAGACAACTCTATCGAGAATATTCAACAAAGAAAACGTCTCAAATCTGATCATAGGTAAAAACTTTGTAATATTGTTGAGATTTGAATATGAAAAACTGAATTATTTATATGTTGTGGCGTATATTTTCAGTACTCTCACATAAGTGCAAACAGGTAGTAGTATTTGATACTTCTAATTGACACAGTGTTATCTTTTTGAGAAATAGAACATTTATTTATTGTGGGTCTTTCTTTTTCCTTTATATGAAGTAAGAAAAGGACAGTGCTAGAAATTATTTGTGTTTAATAGTTAACAAGAACATTGGGGTTTTATAACATACCTATTGACTTCAGTCTTTTAATAAAATGTTTTGTTTTGTAGGAAACTAGGTGGAGCAGTGATAGCTCTGTGTTGTCATCATAGATGTGTCTGGAAACCTTATGTAGGTAAACAGTTCTTCAAACAATGTGGACTTTCTGCCAGAGACTTTCAGATCATGTCCAGCATGAGCAGCTGGGCTACCTGTGCTTGGAAAGGTTGGAGTCATGAGAAGAAGGTGGGAGGTAAGAGTTGTGAAGCTACTGACGGACTCATAGATAATGATAATAAAGAAACAGTTAAATTAAATGAGGAGTCAAAATCCACTAAAGCAGACTTAGATTATTCAGATGAGATTTCTAGCAGAAGAGCTACAGACTTAGATTCTAGTAGCAATACATTAGAGGTCAAGGTTTCCAGTTCATCTGAAAGTCAGAAAGTTGATTTAGATGATGATGATGAAGACGAACATAGTCAAGAAGAGAGTACTACAAATACTGGGTAACTTTTTCATCTTGTATAATAATATATATAAAACTAAAGACAAATATTACATGCACCATGGTGCAAGAGTGTAATAAATTCATTTAATAAAAGCGATATTACACTAGTGTAATAGCACTTTGACTTGATGTCATTTGTATACAGATATAGTGTTAAAGCGCGTTAATGTTAACGTTTCTATGTAGGCACGCTGATGAAAAAACCTTTTTACTGTAAACCTTTCTTATTTTGACTATGTGATACTTATATTATATTCTTTTATATTCAATACTAAATTTATTGAACTTGTTGAATATAACAATATTTTGCTTGTAAATAACTTTAATATTAAATCTACACTCATTCAATATGCTTTGTATATAAAACTAAAGACATGCAAGCAATTTTTAAATAAGATAAACATAGCTAGAATTTTTTGATGCCAGATTCTCTGAAATTTAATTAAATTTCAATTTATAACTTCACTTCCATAAACCTTTTTCAATTTTGTTGATAGAAGTATAATTGATTTGATTAAAGTTTATTACATATTGCATGCTCTTTACTTAATCAATTGATAGATTTTCATTCTATTTTTATCTGCATTGTTTTCAGGATATCAACAAAGTTGAGTCAAGAAGAAAGGGAGGTCATAGGTAGAAAATGCAAGCGTCTCATTGATCTTGGTAGAGTCCATTTCCTCCAAGAGCATGGATTAAAGAGTTCACTGAAAGTTTATATTGAGGAATTCTTTACACCAGAAAATGTTGTTCTTGTTGCAAGTTAATGCCAACCTACAGATGTAAATTAGATTATCAAGAGGCAAAATGAAAAAAAAAATAGAATTTTTGGGCATTATTTAAAGTTATTATCATTTGATTGTATAAAGAAATAGAACATTATTATAGGCTTATTTTAAATAAATCCAGGCGTTAAAGAAAATACAAATGAATGATACAAGGCCTTGAAAAGTCTTTGAATTTTGTGTTGAGAGATCAGTATGATTTTTTAAAGCATTTTTGAAGGGCTTAGGTCTGAAAATAAAACAAAATTATTGTTGACAAGTCATAGTCTGATCAGTGGATGAACTTGTCATATTATTAAGAAATTTTTGAAATGATAGGGTGTACAAGTAATAGTTTTTACAGTGCCACGACTCGAAAATAAACAAAAGGCAAGATTAAATTGAAAAATGCATTGCTAAAAAAGTTCATTGTATTAATTTTGGGTTGAAAAATAAATATCAAATTTATAAATATCCATTTTGAGTGCTTTGTTTTATAGTCAATAATGCAGAGTTCCAGTTCATATAAGCAGTAATGTTATCATGAAGGCCAGTAGACTCAAATTATTAATTACAAAGCACTTTCACCATAAACCATGCATTATTATACATGTATAACAAAGCACAGAAAACTTGATGTATTTTTGTTGAACTATATGTATATTGTGATGAGAAGTAATTTTTATAACTCATTTGGTTTATTGATGTCATATGATATGTAAGCATTCTCTTTTTTACTCTGTGCATACAACATTTAATAATGTGCTCAACCCATTATCTAATAGAGGAATAGTATGAAGCATGCTAGAATTGATAGTTTATTCTCATTTTGTGAAGAAATAAAAAGGCACAAGTTGATGAAATGTTTGTGTTACCTGGTTTAATAAAAAAGAAATAGTTAATTTTCTGTGAAAACAGTATGTACCAAATGGTCATTGTATTTCATGTTTTCTTGTGTTAAGTACTGCTGAAGGTAATTGTGACATTGGGCATAGAAATTCAAGTCAACTGAAGAAGCATGAATAAGCAAATATTCAATATATCTTTGAGTTACATCTTTGAATCAAGTGGTATCACTAAAGAGAGTGTTCAATAGAACTATCTGTGTTATCAGTCTGTATTAAGTTTAATGATTATAAGTAATGTGATGGCATTTAATTTGATAAAATTATGACATATTGTTTTGCCTTGATTTGATTTACCAGAAATAGGCTGGGCCAATATTGACCCTAAAGGCAAAATTAATATCACTTTAGTGCAGGTTCGCAAGACATGGCTACATGCCAAATCAGAAAACTGGGCATAGTAGATTCTCAAAATGATACTTGGTGTTTTCTTGCATAATGCTCTATAAATGAAATGAACCCCAGAAAAGGGCCAATTTTGATCTGAGGAGATCTAAACCTGGATTCTGTATATTGTTATTGGAACATTTCTCCCAAATAGTTTTAATTTCCTTCCATCAGTTCAAAAGATGCAAAGTGGACAAACAATTTTAAAATTTTTACATAATGGCATCTATGACCTTCACTTTGGCCTGAGGAAAGTCAAACCTGTGCTATGCACATTGTTGTGTTATGGTTAACATTTCTGCCAAGTAGTTTCAATTTCCTTCCATCAGTTCAAGACACAGAGCGCACACCAAATTGCTAACACACAAAAGGACTCTCAGGTGCAAAACAGTATAGGCCTAAAAAAATTTGGGGGCATATAAACATAAACAATGTAAATGTTTTGAAAGAACTTTACTTGATACAAATGTTGAACATTTAACAAAACAAACGTATAGGAACTATCAATCAGCTGGCTACCAATACACTATAAATACAAACATTTCATCTTATAGCACATTGTTCTTATATTTTGTTCTCAACAGTTAACTTTATATGTAACATGAAGATCTATACTTCATATTAAAGCACATATATACCATTTCTTGTTATAATTTACAAATCAAGTCACAAAACATCACTATTCAAATGTAAGTTTACTCGTGCATAACGGAAATATAAGGTTATGTGCACACAAATTATTGAAAACACTACAAAACAAGAGAAACACCGTACACTCTCCAAAAATAACTATGTATATTCGTATTTATGTAAGCTTGTAAAATTATCATATGTATATTTACAATACAATAAAGTTTTGTGTTAATGCCAGAAGGTTGATGAATCAAATGTTGATAAAGCATGCCTCCAAATGAGATTTCATTAGATAAAAGTAACAGTTAAAACTACTATAAGTTAATTCAAACATTGTAAAATTATTTCATTATAGAAAAAGGGCACAAAAAGTGAAAAAAATGGAATTTCAAACAAGGTAACTATGTTATTATAATCTATTTCTTTTTAGTTGGTATCTTAAATTACTAATATTACAACTAAAGATTACTCAGTACATAATGTAGTGATAAAAACCCTGCCATGTGTTTGACACAGGATCTTATGTTAGTCTATTCATAATTATTTTAGAAGATGAACATTTATACTAAGTTTGAAGAGTCTTAACAGGTTATAGGATTCATAGACCAGACACAAAATTGTCTGTGACAACTGACCCTCAAGTGGGAACTTGAATTTGAGTTGGCACAAGGGTGGTATGGGTTGTGCTCATAACTAGCCTTATTCAGATGGATATGTTGGGCAAGTTTAAAGAAAATCCTGACAACTGTTAAATAAACCTGATATAACAACAATTCTAGTTTATATTTGAATCAACTTATACAGTACTGCTCTAAAAAAATGATATTTTAGGTATATTTTTATCATAGATACATTATGAGATGATATATTCTTTTATTTAAACAACAACAGAAAGCACCCTTATATATGATATCATGTATCACGCAATAATTGCAAACTAATGATATAACTACATGTATATGAAAGCTGATATGAATAAACATTTGTCATACTTCATTTAATATAACATATTAACATGCATCATTTATTATAACAAAAACATGCATTATTGAGATACCTGCATCAGTGACACTCTTCAATAATCATAATATATAGACACAAGATGAGTCATTTGCACCTTCAACTGTTATAACATATAGACACAGGTCAATAACGCGCTTCAATTATATGTTAAAATACAGACATGCATCATTGATACAAATCATTTCTAATAATACTTGGACATTTTTTAAACATGATGACATTACATTTTCAGGGTTTTGGCTGCAATTCACCAAGTCCGCAAATGATGAAAAAATATTGGAAAGTGGCAAATTTTTTTTTTATAAAAGAGCATTATAATTATTTTTCCAATGCTTATATTTTTCTTTAAAAATTTCCCTAATTGACTGCTGATTGATAAATCCAGATAAAAGTGTGTCTGCCTGCCATGATTACATGTCAATTTGACCGGACTGTTGCCTATTTTTCGGTCACATGCTGGGAGAATTACTCACCGAAATTGCACATTTTGAAATTTTTGTATTAAGTCGCCAGTGAAAAACAATGTTTTACAAGGTAAGAAAAAAGTGGGGTATCAATATATCAGTTTATTTTGAGTATCCTTATCAAACTGAAAAAGTTTTAAATGAAATGTACATTTAATCAATTGCTTATGTTAATAATGGAAAATCATGAATAGTCCACTGAACGTTTGGCTATAATTCCTTCAAGTTGAAAATATTGGTTATCATTTTTTTAAAGCCAGGTGTGAGCCCTGATCATAATAAGTCAATTGTTAGTTGCTAATATGATGTATGTAGATTTAGAAAATAGAAAAATATAAGGATTTGACATTTTTGAATTAAATCTAGAAAAAAATGGTTAAAGATAACAATCACCAAACCATCAAGTCATGTGCAAAACAGAAACTTCTTTAACATTATTTTTATACAGTAGGAACTAGGAATACAAATAATAGTTGGTAGCTTTAAAATAAGTAGTATTCTTCTATTTAATATTAAAAATTAACCTTGAACTTGTTTAAATACTTTATATTTTTAAGATTTCTATACATCGCATTTATTTCAACAGTGCAAAAGTTATTACAACATATTTATAATCATATAAAAAACACATTTCATAAGTAAAAGGTAAATGAAACAATTCTACTGTCTAAAGCAAATATTTGTTCTAATCAGTATATTTCAACTCTGGTAGGTTATAAAGTACAAATGGTATAAAAACTAATGTGATAACAAAACAATGCAATTAATAGTAGCATTAGACAAGAACAGTGTGGAGATACAAACATTCTATATCACCGTGACAAGCTAGAACTTGACATTTGGCACAGACAACATTTCAATATTCTAAACACATGAATATATTTATGACAAACTAAACATTTAATACTTCACTGTTCTATCACACATGCAGAGCATTTACATATTCAAACAGTAAATTCTTGACTAATAATACCGGTAACAATTATATGTACATTCTTGATGGGATATAACATAACGAGACAAGCAACTGAAAATTAGGGCTGCGTTATCTTTTCATCAAATCATGCACTCTAGCCACCATTTTGTCCTGTTGATCATTGTGAAAGATTATATTTTTGTCCAAAATAAACAGTGTAAATATCGGTAAGACAAATATAAGCAAATTGGCGTCAGTGTTTAAAAGTTCTTTAGTATTAAAATGCTCTTTACATTACTTTATGAAAATATGTCAATTTAATGTTTCATAATAACAGCATAATTATATGATTTTTATACACTACTTTTATAGATCAACTGGCTGTCAATTGGACGGCAACATAAGACTGCTTATCAAGTAGGTAGTTGCTTGTACCGTTATATTACCTCTCAGATTCTTGAAACAAATTTAATTCACATATATCCAAGAATTTGTCCAGTTCATATAAAGATCGAAGATTATAACAGCTGTTTGTAGGAAATACAGTTGATATCTTTTCTGAATAGCTGGAACTTTTCTTATTCAAGTTTATCAATAAAAACTTTAAAAAAATAAAAATTAAGAATTGAAAGACTTAGTAATATGTTTATATTCCAACTAGGCTTGTATTCTATGGTACTTCATCTGTGTACCAAAAATTGCAAATGTCGACCAAAGAGTTAACGGTATTGGCAACCAAAGAGCAGTATTAAGTAAACATCTAGGTCAATGAAGGCCATATTTGTAGCAAACTCTGTAGGCAAATGAGCACAAAATTGGAATTATACCACTGTGTGTAGCAAGCATGACATATCCAAAGTCAACATTCACTCTAGAAACTTTCAGTATGCTCCAAAACAACATTCTAGTTTCATTCAATTACACTATAAACCCTCAACCTTCCTACTTTGTGTAATGGATTTGCCCAGTTTTGAGTGTGGAACAGATCGATAGAAATTGAAAGTTCATTATCAAAATAAAATAAATTGAGCAACCAACAGTATAGAGCCTGGTCAAACTGTTTGGATATGCAGGCTGGCCTGGATCTATACTGGTAGCAGTGGCTAATCACTTTTAGTTATAGCAAAGTAATGGTTCAAACTTTACCACACAAAAAATGAAATGAAGCATGATAAAGCTGGTGGGAAGACATTAATGCTGAACAATCATACATACTTAAAGTTATTGTTTTTTAAATACAGAAATGATATAAATTTATATGTGTACCAAGAAAAAAATGGCTTATCAGTGGAAGGAAGTTTCTGTAATAAAACACTTTTACAAATTCCTTACAGAAGTAAAATGGTAAATGATGTGTATTCTTTTCAAGATATATAACTTAATTTATTAAATTGTGCAATTCCAAGTCATACAAGATGCTGTCAGGAAAAAAATATGTTATCCATTATAACCATTTAAATGATATATATAGAGGATAATGAATGAGTGTAGGTTTAATACTAAATTTATTGAACAAGTTGAATAAAATCATATTTTACAATCCTCTGGCGAAAATAATATTGTTTTATTCAACAAGTTCAATAAATTTAGTATTAAATCTACACAAATATGATATTCTATTTATCACATATACAAATTTACAGTTAAAATGAGGCATTTTTCAATGACGCGCCTATAGTATAACGCTAACATTAGCACGCTCTAATGCTATGTTTGTATATAACACAAATGACATCACGTCAAAGTGCTATTACACTAGTGTAATATCGTTTTTATTAACATGACTTTATTACACTCCTGCACCATAGTATATGTGATAAACATGTATAAAGCATATGTTTTACATTATTTATGGATAATAATCTGAGAATAGACTGGTATAGATAAAAGTCAGGGAAATGTATTGACTTGGTTATAACAGTTTATACATCTATTATCTTGTAATACCGGTATTAGAACCAATATCTAAACATCTAATATTGTTATTGAAACAAAAAGCATAACAGAACTTGTAAGTCAAATTTGGTCAGATATCATAAACAGGGAGAGAGAGCTCTTAAGCTTCTATATAAGACTTTGATAATTTCATCATATTCAACAGAAGTATTAGAGTGCTGTTGGGAGACATTTTACATTCGGTACATTACCAAATACAACATGATAATTTACACAGAATTAAATCTGTCTCAGACGACTTTTTGAAAGCCAATAAAATAATTCTCCTGAACAGTTTACAGTCCCCTGATTAAACTTTTATTTGAGTTTTTCTTTCAAACATGTTATAACCAAGGTACCAAATAACCATCCAGTAAATTATCTAAATCTCATCTCTGTTAACAAACCAATAAATATCAGCAACTGATATATCAGACAAAAGCTTTAGGCAGTTATCATTTACCATTCAATATTCAATTTAATCATAAGGCAAATTCTTAAATTCCTAATAGACATGTCTGTTAATGTTTCTTCTTCTTTTTTCTTTGACGTTTTCCTGCAGCTGTATTGGTTGGATGAGATTGGGCAGTTGAGTTCCATGTTTGACCATTAGACTGTGGAGGTTGCCATGATTGAGTTGAAGGTGTTCCGTCTGTGCTCATTGCCTGGTGAAACAGATGACTTATAAAGTCTTCCAGGTCTTCCGAACTGAAATTCAAATTATGAACTTCTGACTTCTTTAACATAAATGGTTCAAAGATATCAAACAATTTTCACAAGATAATCAATTCATTTACTAAATCAATGAAACAAATAATACTTTTTTGCGATATTGAATGTCATAAAAGCACCCCTATGATAACAAGCATTTGATAGTATTGCGGGCAATACAGTAGTCCCCTACCGGTCCCTCAAAAAGTTCTTTAATTGTCATACACACCTGTGTATTGCCATTTATAATGAATTTGAGGATGAAGTCTGTATTTGAAAATATCAACCACAAAACATAATAAATAAGTTTGTCTATATCACAGTAATGTGTTAAGTTTCCATGCTTAGTAAGGAAATTATGTTTATACAACCTTGTCATATTATTACGATGTGGGATTTTAAAGTAAATCCTATAAGGAATGAAGAAGTTGGAGTGAAAATACCAGTTTCTCGAAAATAATCTAAGTTCAAGGGGGACATAATTCTGGAAATAGTCTTGCTAGAGTATTTAACCTTCTCAAAAATGTCGAGTGATAATAAGAAACATATATATAAGGTTTGAAGTAGATACATTAGGAAATAAAGAAGTTATTTAAAAAAGACAACATTTTTTCCCCTAAAAAATCTAAGTTCAAGGGAGGTAATACTGATATTTTTTGTGCTAGAGTTATAAACCTTGTCACATATGATGTGGTTGATGACCAGAAACTTATATTTAAAGTTTGAAGTAAACACCTTAAGAAATAAAGAGCATATAGTGAAAAAGCTGAAAAATTTAAATCAGAAATCTTGAAATTCAGGCTATTTGTTGCCATAGCAACCAGAATTTTCAACATAGGAAGAAAAGAAAAAGATGTGCATAATCTCCAGACTGCCATCTACCCACATTTCAAGTTTCATAAAAATATTTTCAGTACTTTTTGAGTTATCACTGGATCCAGTTTATGTGTTAAATTTGCCATATTTTCAGACTATTTGTTGCCATAGCAACCAGAATTTTCAACATAGGAAGAAAAAAAAAAGACGTGCATAATCTCCATACTGCCATCTATCCATATATCAAGTTTCATAAAAATATTTTCAGTACTTTTTGCGTTATCGCGGGATCCAGTTTTGTGGACGGACGGACTGACAGACAGACGGACAGACAGACAGACGGACGGAGGGTAAACCTAAAGTCCCCTCCGGTTAAACCAGTAGGGGACTAATAAACTAATTTATATGAAGGTCTGGTGATGATTTTATACATGTCCCACACATTTTCTTTAAAATATACTGAAAATTTCATTCTAGAGAAGTAGGTATTAACTTATCATTTAAACCATTGTAATCACAATATAAATGTTACAATAATTTTACAGTTCAAAGACAGCAAATATATAGCTTTATATGCTTTAGGATAAAATGTTAGATTATTAAATGAGCCGCATCATGACAAAGCCAACATAATGGGTTTGCAACCAGCATGGATCCCTACCAGCCTGCGCATCCGCGCAGTCTGATCAGGATCCATGCTGTTCGCTTACAAACTCTATACCAAGTAGAGAAACCGATAGCGAACAGCATGTATCCTGATCAGACTGTGCAGATGTGCAGGCTGGTCTGGATCCATGCTGGTAGCAAAGGCATTATGTTGGTTTTGTCATGACGCGGCTCAAATATATTTCATTATAATAAACATACCCAGCACCAGTCCCATCCTGTCCATGTTTATCATTATTTGATCGTCCTCGGTGTCCACGGTTACCTTCAGTAGCAATACGATAAAACACATGGTGAGCATTAGCTTGCATGTGCTTGAAAAACTCTTTCTGCAATATATAAATGTGACAATATTACCTTCACTTCCTATTACAAGAAGAGTTTAATTCTTTTCCATTGACATCACTGCAACTTGATTTTATTACATTTATAAACAAATATGATACATCAAACACTTCTAATTTAATTCTAATCTGTGGACACGTGATTAATGTTGTTAAAACTTTAATGAAATGATAACAAATACTTTCTATTACCTTGCAAGCAACCCATTCTGTAATATCAAAGACCTTTCCTTCCATACAAGCATAATAATGCCAGAGAAATCCTAACATGGAGGTTTCTGCCCAAACATCTCCCTACAATATCAAAATATTGACACAAACAATCAGTACCACAAATCTATTATGCTTATATATTCACAAGGGCCATACCAGTAAAGATTTGCTTTTACTTCAACACTGATAAATGATATTTTAAATATATGCATCCTCTCTCTAAAATTCATACTGAAAAGAAAGCCAGGGTAAATGTATCTTTGTATCTATCCTTTATTATGTCTTCTCATTATAATAGAATACAGTATAGAGAAACTGACGTGTCCAGCAGTAAAATTGTACTCATCTTAATATACAAGACAAATTTCTAGTTTCTATTATATATTATAAGCTCACATTAAATGATATATCTTTATGACTCTTTATTCAAACAAGAGCTGTCGGTAGGACAGCAACGCTCGACTATTCTTAGTGCTTGATAGTAAAAAAAAAATGCTTGATACAATTACCTCCTCCTGTTTAAAGGTTGGGGTCATGATGGTGAACAAGTGTGCAAAGTTTGAAAGCCATATGTCAATGGACTTTGAAAATATTTGAACTATTACAAAAACTTTAACATAAATTCTAAGTCAAATAAGGGGCATAAATCTGTCAAAATGTTTGATACAGTTACCTCCTCCTGTCTACATGTTGGGGTCATGATTGTGAACAAGTGTGCAAAGTTCCAAAGCCATATGTCAATAGACTTTGAAAATATTTGAGGTATTACAAAAACTTTACCGCAAATTCTAAGTCGAAAAAGGGGCATAATTCTGTCAAAATGCTTGATAGAGTTACCTCCTCCTGTCTACAGGTTGGGGTTATGATGGTGAACAAGTGTGCAAAGTTTCAAAGCCATATGTCAATGGACTTTGAAAATATTTGAGGTATTACAAAAACTTTAACGCAAATTCTAAGTCGAAAAAGGGGCATAATTCTGTCAAAATGCTTGATAGAGTTACCTCCTCCAGTCTACAGGTTGGGGTTATGATGGTGAACAAGTGTGCAAAGTTTCAAAGCCATATGTCAATGGACTTTGAAAATATTTGAACTATTACAAAAACTTTAACATAAGTGGTTACGCCGACGCTCGGGTGACTACAATAGCTCTACTTATTCTTATTGAATAGTCGAGCTAAAAATTACGTTCATGATATACAAATTGTGTTGTAGAAATACACTAACCTCTTTGGCCGAGTGACGTATTTTACATCTATCACAGAAGCGGGCACTATACCATGGTCTCTCTATAGGCACACGTTTATGTTTACCTCCACAATTGTCACATCGCATCATATTACTGGCCTGATGGATTTTCTCTTGTAATTTTGTCAAAAGGTCATTGAACTCGCGCTAAAAATAGAAGCAACAATTTTTGTAAAGATTTTTGACAAATCTCAGTTCAAATGTAGAATCAGGCATAATCACAACAAGAACACTGACTACTGGTATGTAAAATCTTAAGTAAACATGCTAACAAGTTGTACACTATTATTACAAACAAGAGGGCCATGATGGCCCTGAGGTCGCTCACCTGTATATAGCCCCCCCTCCCCGGGCCAATTTTTACCCAAGGGCTTTTTTTTGTTTATTTGAACAGACTTGGTAGACACCCATAAGAAGATGTTTCATGCTAAACATCTAAGTTCTAGCTCATTGGCTTTTTTAAAAGAAGATTTTTTAAGTTTTTACTATACACATATAGTTAAAAACAATGACACCCCTGGGGCAGGGCCAGTTTTGACCCCCGGGCTTTTATTTGAACAAACTTTGTAGATATTTACTAAAAGATGTTTCATGCTTAATATCTAAACTCTAGCTATTTGGGTTTTTTCAAAGAAGATTTTTAAGTTTTTGCTTTACACAAAAAAGGAAAATCAATGACCCCCGGGGCGGGGCCAATTTTGACCCCGGGGCTTTTATTTGAACAAACTTTGTAGACACTGATTAGAAGATGTTTCATGCTTAACATCTAAACTCTAGCTATATGGGTCTTTCAAAGAAGATTTTTAAGTTTTTGCCATACACATGTAAGGAAAATCAATGACCCCGGGGCGGGGCCAATTTTGACCCCAGGGCTTTTATTTGAACAAATTTGGTAGACACCCATTAGAACATGTTTCATGCTAAATATCTTAGCTCTAGCTCTTTGGGTTCTTTAAAAGAAGATTTTTTAAGTTTTTACTATATGCACATAGGGAAAATCAATGACCCCCTGGGGCGGGGCCAATTTTGACCCCAGGGCTTTTATTTGAACAAACTTGGTAGACACTCACTAGAAGATGTTTCATGCCAAATATCTTAGCTCTAGCTCTTTGGGTTCTTTAAAAGAAGATTTTTTAAGTTTTTACTATATGCATATAGGGAAAATCAATGACCCCCTGGGGCGGGGCCAATTTTGACCCCAGGGCTTTTATTTGAACAAACTTGGTAGACACTCACTAGAAGATGTTTCATGCCAAATATCTAAGCTCTAGCTCTTAGGGTTGTTTAAAAGAAGATATTTAAAGATTTTTCTTTCGGTTGCCATGGCAACCAGAGTTCTGCATGGAATTAAATTCTTTGAACAATTTTAAAAGGTGACCACCAAAGGAACATTCCTGTGAAGTTTGGATGAAATTGGCTCAGTGGTTTATGAGGAGATGTCATTTAAAGCAAAAGTTTACGGACGGACGACGGACAGACGGACGCCGGACGGACGCCGGACGAAAATCGATCACAAAAGCTCACCCTGTCACTTTGTGACAGGTGAGCTAAAAATTGCAAGATTTATATAAATTATTTGTGGTGTGGTACCAGGAAACTTTCACTTCATATACAAGTCAATATCAAAAAGTAACCCATAGGACAGGGCCATATTTGATCCCAGGGGCATGATTTATTTGTACAGGTACCTTAGAAATTGCTTCTTACCAAATATCTAAGCTCTGGGCCTTGCAGTTTTCAATAAAAAGATTTAAATGTATTTTTCTATGGCAGTCTTAAAGTCTTTATAAAACTATTTTATGCCTGGTGTGGGACCAATTTTAATCCCAGGGACAAGACTGTTGTTTTTTAAAGTCTATCTTTAGCTCCAGTAACTTACTTTTGCATAAATTTTTTATTTAGTCATTTATGAAACTTTTGTAGAGAGCCTCCAAAGGATCATTCTGTCAAGCTTGGTCAAAACCTACCATCTCGTTAAGCAAATATTGTTGAATGAAATTGTGGATAAATGAAAAACAACACAATGCCACCACAAAAGCTCATATCTGATTGCATAGTGCACAGATGAGCTAAACAATGTATTAATATAAACATTAAGCCAAAGAGTAAACATTATCTAATTACTATATTAACATTATACAACTATATTCAAACACAAGCTTACCATAGCTGCCTCAGCTTCCTTGGCTTCCTGTAGCTGCCGATCATATGTCTCCCGCTTTGACTGAAATTCAAATAATACTTAATAACAACTCTATATAAATGATTTATTCATGTCACTTTTACATTTATATGAGCAGAAATAAAATCATTAAAATCACGAAAAACAAAAACCAAGCCCGATGATCACACAGATTTTGACAATAGGATCAAGATCAGAAATGATGACTAAAATTCACATAAAATTTAAGAAGAAAAAAAATACAATACAAAATTTGCTTTTCAAAAAGTACTCCATATATTGATAGTGATCCCAAAGTTGATCCTTATTTTGATCCAGTTATATCTGTTATTTGTATTGTTATTCCTATATTAAATTTTTTTGAGAGCCAAGGCATATGAGTTGCATTTTAACATGGCACATTATAACAGGATGGCCTTGTTGATGAAATAATTGTTTGTATTGAAATAAAAGTCTTACCAAAGTACCTTATGTGGAAAAAATATGGTTAAAAGAATACATGAAAGCATGTGACCCATGTATTAACAAAACAAACAAACATAGAATATCTCGTCAGGAAACATTTTATTTACTTGTGATATCCATGTGCTTAGAATAACAGAGATACAGTACTCTTGAACTTTTTTCTGAGAAATCATCAACAGGATATAAAAACACTCTTATTGTATTCTAAATTTGTATAGTATTTTCAACATTGTATTGCTTTACGCCATTTATAAATCATGAACTTAAGAAATGCTTATTGAGTTTTGTTAAAGTCAAATTCACTCGTTAAAAACATGTAAATAACAGTTTCCCAGTTCATACACAGTACTGAAATAAATTATAAACATACAAAATACATTGCAGCCCCGTTATAGAGCTCATGTTGGGGTCCGTGAACTCAAGGTCGCGTTATAACAGGTAACGGTTTAAAACACTCCTCTTATAATTACTGCGAAATTATCACATTACCCCATCCACCGCCGAAACTTATAACGCTAATTAGCGTAATTGATGTTTACTTACCTATCAATGGATATCAGTTATTTTCTAAGCATTTTGAATAATTTTATATTGTTTTGTGAAGTATTACTGAGTACCTTTAAAGGAAACAGGAAATTTACAAATTAAAAATATAAACCACAAATGTATATAAATTTCCGTATAAGGACAGTGATAACGTGAGTACTGTGTAATTATGAAAATTAATAACACGCATGTGTGATCTGGGACAGATAGATACACATAAAAGTTTCATTTTAAGTCCAAGTGTGATTTACTCAATTCATCGGTGTTTGCGTGTCACAGCTACGAATTTCAAGATTGTTAAAACAGTCCAAAATGATTCACATTCCTGTGTATGATTTCACACCTTCTGCGCTCACAAGTGACCTAATTACGACTGTTTATTGCACTTGACTGACACATTGAACAACTGTTATAGCAGATACGGCACATTATTAATATACATGAACAAAATTTATGATCGGCAAAAAACACGATTTTTGGGGGGCGGGAGGGGAGCCAAGGCTTACAAGCGATATACTGAGATAAGCGTTATATCGGAGAGCGTTATAAAGCGACTGCAGTGAATGTTAGTCTAACAGAACAAGAGTTGACAAAATCAGCATTTTATATAGAAAGATACTCACTGCATCTCCAATAAGATCAAAGGCATGTCCGAGAATTTTAAATGCTTCTTCTGCACCAGGTTGTTGATTCTGAAAAACAAATTTTAATTATATCAGTACTGTTTTATCTTTAGGTGTATTGTGACAGTACTTGTGGGGAGAAATTGAGTTGTGGGGGAGAAAATAAAGGGAAAAATTAAAGACATTACCTATACAATTATCCATTTTATGTAAAGTTTTAGTATTAATCAATCATCTTGTAATATGCATATAAAACAATTAACCTAAATTATCTCGCAGATCAAAGTTTTTACTTCAGTATTGAAACAAAAAGTTTTTATTATTCACATGTGTCAATCTCTGTTGTAAAATAATTCAGATGAAGAAACAAACCTTATCAGGATGGACTAGAACAGCCTGTCTTCTATAATACTTCTTAATATCATCGTCAGTGGCAGTAGATTTTAATCCTAAAATACTGAAATAGTCAAACACACAGTGTTAAAACCAGTACATCCAGTTATAACAGATGATACAAATCCATCTCAAAGACATTTTTTAAGTTAGTGATTTTAATAAACAGATTGCATGAACATTTATTTACAACACATTAAATAAATAAACCAAGTTTTATCAAACAACCCTCTCTTAAAGAGATACACAAGCAATCTAAGGCTCATTTTTGCATTATAAATTTTCTTTATAAACAAAATATTGCATGTTTGCTTTGTAACAGCAAGTTAAACACTTCTTTAACAAAATTTTAAGTTTGATATTGATGCACTTTTGCAAGGTAACTGTAAACATCTCAACAGAGATTAATTTTTGATTGTTTTGTCTGGTTTTTGAGCCAATTTTAACACATTTTTTCATCATATCCTTACTTTCAGAGTAAGTAACCAGTAAATTCTAATTTCTCCACAAGTAACTAATTAATAATCCCTCATGATAACTGAATCAGCAATGAGGGACAACTAACCAGACTCAATGTCCCGAGATCACTATTCTTCTAACTCGAGATAACAATGTTTCAAATTCGAGCTGAAAATGTTTCAAGGCTTCAGCTTGTTTGGTCAAGTTCATAGACAGAAATCAACAAGTTATAGTTTACCTATAAGGGTCCTTTCCTTTACAGGCAAGAAGTCTCTGCATGGCCTCTTCTCCTAAAATATAAAATTCATTTATTCTTAAGGCTAAAAAGGTTCTCAAAGAGAATTTTAATGTATTTTGTATAGTAAATTCAGCTATACAAAAATCAATTTTGTTCACGTCTATATTGTTCTCTTCTTTTCTACAAGTATAAATAATAGTTAAACTTTCAAATTGGTAGTTGAGAGAAGAAAGTAGCCTCGGCTTTTTTCCATCTCAAAAGATTTTCATACAGACACTACTTTGTAAGTTTCACAATTAATGTCATAACTACTGATATTGGGGTATACAAAAACTAATAGTTTCAGCTCAACCAACATCAGAACAACTAGGTTAAATAGCAGCATCCCCCTACTTTAATAGTCATCACAAAAAAAACTTTGTCACAAATACAACGACTGCCAGACAGACACTGGAGATTATCATTGTTGATTTATCAATATTTTTATATATCAAGTAATATAGAATTTTAAACATGAACACAAAATGGTCTGATATTTGACTTAAAGGTGGCAGTGGCACCATGAGTTCTGCACATTGCTGTGTTCTGGTAAACATTTGAGTCAAGTTTTAAGAATCCGTCAAGAAATATCAACAAAACTGTTTGATATTTTACATCTTCCCATTTAATCTTTACTGTGACCTTGACATTGAGGATGGCATTCATTGGTACTGTACATAACCTTGTTCAGGTGATCATCTGAGCTTATAAAGTTTGAAGAAAATCCTTGAAAGGGCGTAAGTTTTATAGAACACTGGAGTAGGGCAGATTATCTGACAAACACGACAATTTGAGTGATTCCAGTATTACCCCAAAACAGTAATATGATGGGAGTGTAATAATTTTCCAACAAGTACCTGTTGCTGGCAAGCTTATATTTTCCTCAAGTCCAATCTTCTTTGGTGTATCAGTGACTGTTTTTCTCCATCTATCTCCACCAAACAATTTTCCTTTAAACACTTTATTCTCCAGGAACATCCATAGTTTACCCCACAACCAACTGCTTATATGAACACAGCCAGAAACCCTGTGAAATACAACAATAACAAGTACTGGTTATTATTAGCACAACAACTGAAGACATAAGGCTTTATTTATATATTAATCATGGCATAAACAGTAATATTCTTTGAACTTGATAAATATTCAGGGCAATATTTGTGTTAAATAGTAAAATCTGGAAATGCCAATGAGATGTATGCATACTACATAACTAATCAAGGGCCATAAATCTGAGTTTTAAGTATCATGGAACAAGGCGTGTATATGCATATCTCCTCTTAGTATCCCATAAAGTTTCATTGAATTCCAGCCAGTAGTTGCAGAGAAGTAGCGAGGAAACAAATATTTTTCTATATGGATACTGCATAACTAATCAAAGTTAAAGTGTCTGACCGGAACAAGCCAACGATATGCGCATCTCCTCTTGGTATTGAAGGTTCCCATAAAGTTTCGTTGAATTCCAGCCAGTAGACCGGAACAAGCCGACGATATGCGCATCTCCTCTTGGTATTGAAGGTTCCCATAAAGTTTCGTTGAATTCCAGCCAGTAGTTGCAGAGAAGTAGTGCGGAAACGATTTTTACTCTATATGCATACTACATAACTAATCAAGGGCCATAACTCTGAGTTAAAGTGTCTGACCGGAACAAGCCGATGATATGCGCATCTCCTCTTGATATTGATGATTCCCATAAAGTTTCGTTGAATTCCAGCCAGTAGTTGCAGAGAACTATTCCGGAAACGATTTTTACTCTATATGCATACTACATAACTAATCAAGGGCCATAACCCTGAGTTAAAGGGTCGGACCGGAACAAGCCGACGATATGCGCATCTCCTCTTGATATTGATGATTCCCATAAAGTTTCGTTGAATTCCAGCCAGTAGTTTCAGAGAACTACTCTGGAAACGAAATTCGGACTGACGGACGGAAGGACGGACAACGCCAAAACTATATCCCCCTCCCGATTCCATCGGCGGGGGATAATGAAATGTAATACTTATGCACATGGTTATTTTACTATATTCTAACAAACAGTCAACAAGAACCAACTTGTTGTCTCATTGGCCTTGATTTACCTTCCTTTGAATGATCAAAGCAAAAATCTACCGCAATTATGAATGACAATTGATATTGCATATCTTAAATTTTGTCATAACATGTGATATCTCTTTCAAAGCAGAATACTTGCAATAAAGTTTTTGTTTTTTTAAAATATGAATACTTATGAGTTTCTAGTTGTACATAATGTTTATAACTTTATGTTTGACTGATTAAGGATATGATTAGGACTATGGAGTACATTAAAGAATGTTGGCTGTGAGATCATATTATGAATCAAAACTAATACATGCACTCCAGCCCCTCAACTAAAAGTGAAACGTTCAATAAATATCATCACCCCTACTGGTACATCTGAGGGAAAACCTTGAATGTGTCTTTCATATTTTTGTAATAAATAAAATTTACTTTTTAAATTTTTAAAGGTCAAATTTTTTTTTTGCATTCAAAAGTTTTTTTAAGTTTCTTTTACAAATTTTACTATATAATTTTTACTTTGTTTACAAAGGCTCATATAACAATCCGGAACATAAATAAATAATGATACAAAATATATACTTAAAAGTAAACAATTTTAAACTAACAATTTTCAGAAAAAGAAATACTTCAGTTCAAATGAATAGTAAAACAAAAGGGAAACGATGTACATACAGGTAAAACATGTGTACTACAGGGATTTCAATGTGTACATCAGGAAAAAAATGTGTACTACAGAATACAATGAGAACATCAGGTAAAAATTAAACGGGATCAATGATGAAAACAGGGATAAAGATGTACAAAAAGGGAACAATGTTACATACAATTTTTACAAAATTTTTACATAAGTTGCATAAGGGTTTCAAAGTGTACATCAGGGGATACAATTGTACATCAAAGGATCAATGTTACTTCAGGATTCAATAAAGTACTTTCAGATATATAATGTTGTACATACAGTTATACAATGTTGTACTTACAGGTATACAATGGTGTACATACAGGTATACAATTTTGTACATACATATATACTATGATGTACTTGCAGGTATACAATGATGTACTTACAGGTATACAATGGTGTACAAACATATATACTATGATGTACTTACAGGTATACAATGATGCTGAAGATGAGCAGTATCACCATTAACACAAGAGTCCATAGTTGATGGAGACAAAGTTTTGCCTTGTCATATAGAAAACTTAGCCATTCATCTGAAATATAAACATGAATTTTGATAACTATTATCACATAAAAGTGGATAGTCTTATTTCAAATCACCCATTTAGATATATAGTTCAAAACCCATTGGCCAATAACTGACTGACCAACTCTCTTCTAAATGACACCTTACATAGTAAAAATTCATTACAATGTTCCTGAGATTGGCTCCCTATCTAAGGAGTATATCCCTGATCCAATATGACCTTTGAAATGTCACATTTATCACATATTCGCAAAAGGTCGTTTATATACATTTTCTGATTTAGAATTTTTACAACATGTCTGGCCAATTGTATATGTCATTGTTGAGTGAAAAAAAAACACATCAAGTTTATTTCTCTGAACACTGACAAGCCTACATGTATGCCACAAGATATATAGCAAGACACAAGCATATCTCCCTGTTTAAAATATTCATGAGAACTAACGGGAATAAACTATATATTTATCACATGTGTTTTTCTTTTAATATCTTTCTTTATATGTCTTGTTGGATTTTTCTATTTGCAATTCCACAACTGTTATTATGTATTCACAATGCTTGTATATTCTATCATCTTACATTTTTAATTAAAACTCACTTTCTTAAACAATTATGAGAGAATGGCATATTTTCTATATGAAAGTACATGCAACATATTTACACATTGTAGCTATTCCCAAAACTGAAATTGCTTTTGTCCATAATGTACTTATTTTGATTTTTTTTTTCAAAAATGAGACGAAGAAATTGAAATTTATGCAAAAAATATAAATTTATAGGATTAAAACAATGTACATGTATTTCAAAAATGTTTTTGTAGTTACATTTATTATCTTAATCATACCCCTATTGAAACAATTCAAATCAATCCCAAACTGAACCTGGATGTTGATGGTAGTCCACAACTAATGTAAAGAAAACCATGACAACCCAACACTTTAATTACAATGTCAAGATTTAGAGACTTAATGTTAGAAATGTTTAAAAGGTAGATGGCAATGTAAAACAAAATGAAAACAAGATTGCATTTGAGAAAAATGCTATGCCACCGCATTAATACAACACTAAATAGTAGTGTAGGAACATATTTTTTTTGTTTCTATACAATTGAAGATTGTCATAATGCATAGATCCCTGACCTATCTAATTCTTATTATCAGATTAGTGATTAAATCTGTTGTTAATCAAATAAAAGATCAGAGCAGGAATATATCAATGCACTTGAGTCTAGTGAATTTGGTGGTGAAGGTCATATTTCACGCAGCCTAAATTTCATGACTACATCAAAGGACAACACAGTAAGACACTTTGTCAAAATCTAGGTAAGCTGATATCAAAGTCCACTTTACATCTAAATCTGTGCACATGGTTCAAATTTCATAGCTGTAGATCAAAGCACAAGAAAGTAGGTCACATTATCAAAATCTAGGTCACCTGATATCAAAGTTCAATTTTTCAACTAAAACTGTGCACATGGTCAAAAATTTCATTGCTGTACATCAAAGGACAAGAAAGTAGGTCACTGTCCCCTTGGTCAAGGCAAAATTTTGACCCAAGGGTTTAATTCAAAACAATCTTGATACAGGTCCACCAAACAACATTTCAAGTCAAATATCTAAGCTGAAGCTTTCTCCCATTCAGAAAACATTTGTTTTATTTTCTGTTTTTACTATGTGTACATAATGAGAATCATGCCCCCGGGCAGGGCCAGTTTTGACACCAGGGGAAAAATTTGAATAACTTTGGTAGAGGACCTATAGATGATATTATATAGCAAACATGAAAGCTCTATGCCTTGTACCTTCAGACAAAAATATTTTTTATTTTTTTACTAGATATACATAATGTAAATCAATGACCCCCGGGGCAGAACCAATATTGACCCCAAGGCTAAAATTTGAACAATCTTGGTAGAGGTTCACTTCGCAAAGTCTCATGCCATATATTTAAACTCTAGCCTTTGTCAATTCAGAGAAGAAGATTTTTCAAGTTTTTACTTTATACATATAAGGAAATCTAGCACCTCTGGGGCAGGGCAATTTCAACACTAGGGGCATAATTAAAACAACTTTAGTAGAGGACCCAAAGATGATATTATATACCAAATATCAAAGCTTTAAGCCTTGTACCTTCAGATAAGAAGATTTTTTAATTTTTTACTCTATGTTCATAGTGAAAATCAATGACCCCTAGGGGTGGGGCCAATTTTGACCCCAGGGCTATAATTTGAACAATCTTGCTAGAGCTTCACTACACAATGTTTCATGCAAAATATCTTACCTCTAGCATTTGTCAATTACTAGAAGATTTTTTTTAAAGTTTTAACATATCAGGATAACCAATGACCCCCGGGGCGGGGCCGATTTTGACCCCAGGGCTATAATTTGAACAATCTGGGTAGAGGTCTACCAGACAATGCCTTATGCAAAATATCTAAGCTCTAGCCCTTTTGGGTCTTTACAAGAAGGTATTTTAAGTTATTACTATATGTACATACAGTGAAAATCAATGACCCCCGGGGCGGGCCAATTTTGACCCCAGGGCTATAATTTGAACAATCTTGGTAGAGGTCTACCAGACAATGCCTTATGCAAAATATCTAAGCTCTAGCCCTTTTGGGTCTTTACAAGAAGGTATTTTAAGTTTTTACTATATGTACATACAGTGAAAATCAATGACCCCCGGGGCGTGGCCCATTTTGACCCCAGGGCTATAATTTGAACAATCTTGGTAGAGGTCTACCAGACAATGCCTTATGCAAAATATCTAAGCTCTAGGCCTTTTGGGTCTTTACAAGAAGGTATTTTTAGTTTTTTACTATATGTACATATAGTGAAAATCAATGACCCCTGGGGCGGGGCCGATTTTGACCCAGGGCTATAATTTGAACAATCTTGGTAGAGGTCTACCAGACAATGCCTTATGCAAAATATCTAAGCTCTAGGCCTTTTGGGTCTTTACAAGAAGATTTTTTAAATTTATTCTTATAATTTCTTTCGGTTGCCATGGCAACCAGATTTCTGCATGGAATGAAATTCTTTGAACAACTTTGGAAGCCCTTCACCCAAGGATCAATCCTGGCAAGTTTGGTTTAAATTGGACAAGTGGTTTTTCACAAGAAGATTTTTTAAGTTCACTATATAATCTATATAACACACACACACACAAACAAACACACACACAGGTGAATCGCTATATGCCACCGCATCGCAGATGCTGCGGTGGCATAATAAAGTACATGATAAGTATATTATACAAAAACAAACTCAATAATTCCAATACTGGGAGATTTGTTATAAAAAAATTGCTTACTGTCTTTCATAACGGATGATTTGATGGCATCCAAAATAGTTTGTTCATTTCCTACTATCATTCTCTTATCAAGATAACAAGTATAACAAAAACTTTAAATTTCTACAATTATCATATATGTGTATTGTCATTTTGATAAGAAAGTCAGCAAGATCTAACTTATTCTGCTCATAATTATACCATGCCTTACATTAAGTCTTAACTCCAAGTATGTACAGTTATGAGCACTTGTCTATTCAAAACAAATCTCAGCAATTAAACATTTTATAAAGAATTTATAAAATGTCTCATTTTAAACCAGGAAGTTAAATTTATTTCAATGAAAAAATTTATTCCCATATTATACACAGTCAATTATACACTATAATTATGTCACTCTTTTCTTTGATAACTACATGTATATAATCCAGTTTTAACAGAGAATAAAGAAAATGAAGGACAGAAAAATATTTTAGTGTAAGCTATAACTGGTTACACAAGATTGTAATCAAGAGGTTCAATATCTCCTATATTTATCAATGTGTAAATACTATAATCAATGTAAACAAGTAGGACTATCATGTACTGGATAAAATGTTCATGTTTTTCACAATTCTCTAAGATGTGCTAACCTTCAGTACTGTAGGGACAAAATCAATAAATACAATGTATCTGTTTGTTTTAACTGCCAACATATCAATTCTTAAATAAGAGTTAAAGACACAGACATATATATATGTATATATTGTTCCTTTCTATCCATCTATTGTACATATTGTTAAATTGAAACTAAAGATACAAAATGCTGAATTGGCAATTTTGATATGCACGATATTGTTTACAGTCTAACCCTAGTTTGACAGTACATGTATATAGTTGAGTAGTAATCATCAATCACTATTATTCAGATTTAGATTATTCAAACCCATTAATCATTTGAAGTCAAATTGTAGTCCCTGGTTCCTTGAATAATTAAGGTTGAACTGTATCTTGTTTATCAAACAAGTATCATGATATCCTAGTTAGAGCCCCGAGTTCATGATTTGTACAAGGAAGAAAGAATGTTTGCATTGTGTTTCTATAAACTATTAGAAATAATGTTCATAAAACATATTATCCATCTTGCATAGAATGTTATACAAATGTAAACACATTTTTGGATAGAAGTGACTCAGAAGTCAGAAGGCTGCCATCTAACTGACTTTCCTGGATATTATGATAATAGTTCAAACTAAGTCAGAGATGATACTGTATTATTCTCCGAAAGTATTTGCAACAAATTATCAAGGTGCATAAATTCACATGATTACATAAATTCAAATAAGTTTCAAGTGAATACCTTGAAAACAATTTAACAAAGGGCCATTTAATATTCAGACAAAATTTATGTCAGATTTACTGACCTTAGACAGTGGCACAAAATTTAAGGGCTTGAAGTTACATGTACAAGGAAATATCACTAGTGGGTGATGAGGCATGATTTTGTACAAGAAGTTGCACATTACCTTTAGTTATAAATCTGATGTGTTATATTGTAGACATAAAAGCTGACATGAGTAGGATAGCCAAACTATTCCTTGAAAAGTCAAGCTAAAAATGCATTCTGACCAAATGCTACTGATCTGACACAATAGCCATTAATAGTGCACTTAAGGTGAGTTTCAAACAACAACATTATTATGTGTCCATCATGTTCAGATATATCACAATTAAGTTGTATCTTATTATAGCAACAAGTGCAAGATAACACAGATCTATGAGCAGAGGTGCAGCTTTTTGTGTTTTACTTTCTTGTCATTTTCTTATAAAAAAATATGCCTATTCTGGCAATCCTCTGTTTCATATTTTCTCTTATTTTCTCTTTTTCTAATCATATATAGTAATGAAAGTTGCCTCACCTATTCTTCAAAGTATCTTCAGAAAAATTAATAGATGTTTTACCCTTTATAAGCAGAACTTATTGAGTATTTCATTATGTTGACTTTGTATCTGGTATATCTGATAGTGATAGTCTACTGTTATATACATACAACAAACAAGCTTAATAAGAGCCTCTGTCTCCAGTTATTTTAACATAATATGTAAAGATATATATATATATATATATAGAGGAAGGTAAAACAAATTGACCCCAGACATGCCAGAGATAACTACCTTCTTCCTTAAGCAATAATGTTACCAAGGACAAGTTTACTTTATAAAGAAATATAATGTGTTAGTGAACTTAAGTCATGGTAATCAAAACAGCCAACTGTTTTATTTCAAATACAGGGGTTTTATTATCTGTTTATCATTATAAAATAATCCCACTACTGAATTAGAACATGAGAGATTGTCTGGATTAATATCCTGGTCCAACTATATAAAAAGTAGACGTTATACTTCAATGCTTTGATGTAACTGGTAGATAAATTGAATCTTTTTGTGAGGATATAAATCTATACAAGCCAAACAATTTTAAGTAAATAAATGGAAAGGTAGAGCTGAGATTGTTGCTACAGTTTTCATAGATTATTGGTTATCTGTAGAGGTTATGGTAAAGAAGAAACAAGAGCTGTTAGCCTGTAAGTAGGCCAACATGCTCGACTATTCCCAATGCTCAAGCCTGGATATTATAGAAATTTTCTAAGTTCAAAAAGAGTCATAATTCTGCCAAAATCCATGTTAAAGTTAGGGTCTTGGACAGAGATCTTCTTTATGCTCTTAAGTATTTTCAACTCATTCCCTTTAGTAGTTTTGGAGATACCAACTCGCATGCAAAAAATTAACCAAAGTGTCTGAGTGATTTCAATAACTCTCCTTATTCTTCAAAAAGTCGGGGGAAATAAACAAATCATTCCATTTTGTGCAATGTCTCAGTCGTCAACTACATAAAAACCAGAAAATGATATCTCACTCCCATAAATGCAGATTTTTTGTGGGGTATAAAAAGATCAAGATGCAAGTTTTCAATCTAATTCTTGAGATCTGCATGCAATAAACCCCATTTGAAATGTTAAAGTTTTTGAAAGACCATTATTATAAATATACCCAGTAAGAGATTATATTTGTCAATCATTTTAAATACATACATGTATAAAGTTTCAGTTTTAAATGTTGCTAAGGGAGTATTATATGTTTCAAATCAGAATTTTTGTATATATGAAATGAGAATGACCCTGGGTCAGAAATTCAGACTCATGAAACGTGTTATAATAAATGCTGCAAAATTTCAATATTTCCAGTATAAGACTATTACATAGGATTTTTACAGATTTGGAGAGTTTTCAATACATACCAAACTGAATTCATGAGTATTATGAAAAGAAAGTACAAAAGGCTATAAATATAAAGGACTCACCAATTAGTTCATGATCAAAAGAAGTCTGTAAAGACATCTCATTCTTGGCAGTTGTTGACCTATTCTTCGCCGAGCCTTGTCTTGTACGAGTTTGCTTTTCAGATTTTGGCTGTGACTGAGGATAGACATTTTCTGGCAAAATAGTCTGACCCTTTAGCCCTGTAGCTGGATTCTGATTGGTTTTCTTTTGTGAGTCACGAAGATTATTATTGATATAATGAGTTGATTTCTTGTGAGCAGCTGATGAGCACCATGCTGCATAGGAAGGTTTTCCATTATTCAGTATAGTAGGTCCACTATCTTCATCGGCAAGCTTTGACTGTCCTCTTCGCTTGTTGGTATCTTTTGTCTGTGACTGAAATATTCTACGGGCATCAAAGAAAGGTTTTTCCTCTTTAGATGATTTTACATTTTCTTTATCCAGACCTTTTTCTTTTTCCTTGTTACTTATCTTCTCAAAACTGGTTGGTTCATCACTACTGTTGCAGTAACTATTACATGTTTTGTTCAGGTGAATCTCTTCAATTCCACTAGTGCCACTACTGAGACTACTTGTACTGTTTTTACGAGTTATAACTGGAATGCCGTCTAAACCAGCACTTGATTCTTCTTTCTCATTCTTCTTGATTTCCACATCTCCAAAATCATCTAGACCATATTTTGAATCTGGTGACACTGTTGTTCTGCACATGTCATCTGGGACACTGTTATTCCTACCCCTTATTGGTCTTGGAACAAATTTTTTATTTCCCTTAAATGACCTTGATGTGGAATTTTCCAATGATCTTCTTTTCCCTGTCTCAGGATCATCTCTTTCCTTAGTAGAACTTTGACTAGTTTTCAATGTTTTCGCAACTTCAGCAAAGCTTGGTTTCGTATTGCCTTGCTGATCAACCTCTCTAGGTGGAGGTGTGGCAGAAGGTGAACTGTTTAAAACATCTGATGTTCCAAATGGATCATAAGAAGGGTATCCAGAACCCAACTTTTTCAAAGCTTCAGCATAAATATCATAACCATCTTGACTTGTCTGGCTGAATTCAAGGGGATTCTGCATTGAAGACATGTTTCCATCTTGCATTGGGTTAAGTACTGGGTTTGGTGAACTAAGAGCTTCGAGGAGAGACTGGGCAACTGGTGTAGAAGCAAGTTTATCTGTATCATTAGTCATATTAGCATCAAAATTTGGATTATTCTTGCCCATTGCCTGCATTACATTGTTTAAATTGGAGTAATAGTTTGGATGATTAAGATCTAGATTCTGTCCAGCAGATGGTGTGTTAGGAGGAGTTACAAAACTGTCCCATCCAAAGGAAGCTGCATCTCCTGGAGAAGGTGGGATGCCACTAAATTGTGTCCAAGGTGCATATCCAGGATATGTTGAGGAGGGAACATTTGGCTCTGCCATGGGTTGGAAAATGCCAAAGTCTGCATCCTGAGTATGAAACTGACCTTCAGGACGAAGAGATTTTTTATCACCCATGACCACAAGCTTCTGATTGGAACTGCAATACACAAAGTTTAAACATAGTATTATTGCTGTTATATTATAAATAAGTCATACATCTGAGAACAACTTCACGTTAAGATTATCATTTCTATACAAAATCAAATTTTGATGATTTTCATCAAAATCTGCTTAGCAGTTAAGAAGAAAATATCATTTACAGCTTATTTCTATTTCAAGCTTTATAATATCTGCTTATATTGACCCAAATTGAATCTAATAATACCATTATCTTTTAAACCACAAGGCCCCTCTCTGCTCCACAAACAGATCTCATACTTTTCCCCAATACTTTTGGAGGGCATTTGAAAACATACTGTAAGGACCAAATTAAGACCTTAAATTGGCCTTAAAAAAAGGACTGAAATACAAGTAGTTTACAGTAGAGCTGTCACTGATTCAGTGCAAAGCATATCAACGATATATTGATATGGGATGAAAAATATCAACAATTCACAAATATTTCGTTAATTACCTATAACTTATTGTCTGTCATTCACTTTTATACATGTTTAAATGATTTCAGTTTATAAAAACAGGTTCTATTCAGTGCCCATTGCATGATTTTTTTCCAGACCATTCTTTGTCATCATTTCTATGAATATATTTCCACTTTATAACAGCATAATGTTAGACATGGATAACTGCTTCTGTATATGTTTTCAGTGAATTTTCATCTGGACATTATGAAAATTCACTGATTATGGTATAATTTACGCAAACCCAGAAATCGTCAACGCACCAATGGTGTATCTGTTTTAACCTATAGCTCCGCCCAGAAACACTTACTCCTTCACTGAAAATTATACCATAGTCTGGGTATGGTATAATTTACGGTTATTGGAAATTATACTTAGAAGAATTTTACATAAGAAGCGCTGAAGAGCTATAGGTTAATTTCTGCGTAAACTTGTGTATTTACTTTATTTTTTGTATGGAATTATTCGTATGAAATGATATTCAATTATTTTCTTATAAAGAAATAACTGTTTTATTTCAATTTAATTTAAAAAAAGGCCGAAAACATCTAGTTCGCTATTACACTCCATTAGGTGAATTCCCCAGAGCTATGTACAGAAAGTACCGGAAAACGGTGTTTAGCTAGGTTTTCGAATTCGTGAATTGATTTAGGGAAAAATTATCCCTAAAATTGCTGATTTGGGAAGTAAAAAAGCTGGTTTAAGTTCAGATTTTTGGGAAAACTGCATGATTTTTAAGAAAATTTCAATTGGGAAGAGGCCTTTTTTCGGAGTCTGTTATACAAGTAGTAAAATCACTGAATTAATAAGTCAAAATTTTCGATTTTTTGAAATGTGTATCGATTATTGATGGACAGGACAAAAAATAATAAAAATATCAATAATACATCAATTGTCTAACTTCCTATCGATAACACCTCTAGTTTACAGGTGCAAAGCCAAATGTCATAATTCTATGAAAAAGCTTTGTAAAGGAAAACCCTAACTTGTTTCCCAATCTGACTAAAGTTCAGATCTACTTATTTCTTACATGTAGATCAGATTACCATTGTATATGTTTGTATATGTTTCGCCTTCATTGTAATTCACATTTCCTGAGAAACCTATTTTAAGCAATGCAATCAAACTGTTCTTTACAGATAGGCGTTATACCAAGTATCAAAATATTGTTGTCTGTTGAAGTAAAACATATTTTTCTTTTTTGTTAGAAAAAAATGTTTGAATTAACTTGAAACAAATAAACTCTGGAAATAATAGACTCAATTTGTATCGGGTAAGATTGTTTTGCCAATTTACCTGCTGGCTATATGGACCAATGCCATGCAAGTTCTCAAAGGTGTAAAAATTTCCTAATCAGTACTGGTTTTCCAGCGGTTCAAATTAGAATCACTTTCAAAATTTTAAAAGCTTCCCGATGATTGGCTTGTTTGAAAGATCACTAGGTGACAACCTACTGATGATCGTCAGATTCTAATGCGTAGCATTATCTAGGAGCTTATTATAATAAAAAACCATGTGATATCAGCTGAAACCACACCCCCCCTGTCCCCTTTGAAAGCCCAAGGATGGGTGATAAGTCTGTCCCTATTCTGCCAGGGCAATAAGGACAGTAGTTTTTTTAGGCAATAAACCATCTTGGGTGACAATTTTTAGCAGAGATTTTACCTACTATTCTCCAGGGAGGAGCAAAAAGAAGGGAACAAGAAGTCAATGTCTGTGCCATTTAGTGTTGTCCCGATTGTCTCTGAAAATCGATAACTAATCGGACCACCCCATAATCGGCAACAATCGATAGTCCTTTTTAAAAATCGATTATTTTAATGTTCTACCACCGCTGAATTGCCTATGGCGTAACTTATTTACATGCAGTCATAAAGAAGTTTCTCGACTGAATCTCTTTAATTCCAGACAATTTTAAAGTATTTTTTGTATTCAAAACCTATTTAACATGGTTAATACTACTTTAGAAAATTATAGTGTGTAGTAACATAACATTATAAACTTATATATCTACTGTAGTTAAATTAGTGATCTACAATACTACTCATTGATATTTTGACCTGTTGACTAGTACTAATATTGACTGCCATAAAGTTGTATTTTACAAAAATTGACTGTCACAAAGAAGTATTAGGTATTTGTGTTGTTTTTTTTTAATTCAAAGAGCAAATCATGCTAAAGAAAAAAGGGCCATTACAATTGCGAAACTCGATGGTACTATCGGCAGACAATCGATTGTGGTGGTCCGATTATCGATAGTGATTTTTGAGTCCGATACCCAACACTAGTGCCATTCCACAGGGCTAGATGTGCCATGGTTTCAAATTACATTTACAAATGCATAAAAAGAAAATGGGAAAGATAGCAAAAGTGACATTCATCATGTAGCTACTTTGTTTCATATAATCTACATAAAATTATGTCACAATTTCAGACATGAATATATAAATATTAGTTCAAGAAATGTCTATGTCACAAAAAGTTGGTTCAGGGTGGACAGTTTCTTTAAATTTTCTGGAGACTGCAGTCACAGAAGCGAGAATCCAGAAAAAAATCCGTGTAAGAAATACAGTAAACATTATTTCCAAGCGATCTGCCGATGTGAAATTGTCTTAAATGACAAAACAATTGATCCATATATTAACTACGTTTTTACATAAACTTTTATACCTAATAATTATCAAATTTTGACCATTTTCGTGCGAGTGTTGTTTCCCTATGTGCTTAGATTCAGTCACGTGACTGGAACCGTGAATAAGCGAGACTTAAAATCGAAAGTAGAAATTAAAAGACGGTACCTTAAAAGACGGAAAAACACTTGGTTGAATGGCACTAAATATGTTTCTTCTTTAATAAAGGTTACTTTAACAGTACGGCACCAATACCGAAAAAAATACGGAAGAATGAACGAAATTTACACGGAATGATTCATTCCTATCAAAGAAATAATGTTTCAGTAGATATACCATAATATTCATGTGTCATAAAACTAATAGAATTAGGTAGGCCTAGGTATAGTGGACTTGTTAATCTATAATAAATAAATAAAAAAAACGTAACAAAAATTGAATACTGTACTGTAGAGCTACTGTTTCATTATTTTTTTTTAATATAAATTTAAACAAACAAAAGTTTTAATAAACCATTACGATATATACCATTTTAAAATACAATGCTCGTATCTTTTAAAGTCACAATAAATTTATTTTTCAAATTTCATAAATGTGCTATTTAATTCATGTCCAGTTTTATCAAGTAAATATTAAATACTGAAGATGGTTATTTCCGATGTATTTTCTCTAAATGTTACATGTAATGGTGCACATGCTAATTCTTAGGATTCGGTAAGTTATTTTGGATTAACCATTTACCAGAGTCTTGCTTTTAGTTTCATGATAATATCAGGCATTCAAAGACTAATTCTAGACTAGAAAATTGACTTCTTATCTTTCCATACTAAAAAGCTTTTGGTCATGACTATTATCCGATGTCAATTCGATTATTCTTTAACTGAGTGGCTTTATTTTGCATCACAATCTCTCAAAAAAAAATTACAGATCTCACGAAACAAACTGATATGATTTGTAATGTATGATGGTGATAGGGCTCATAATGGTACAGACCAATTTTCTTTTGTCAAATGGTTACCAGTTGAAAACAGTGTAGACTTTAAAACTCATTTTAATGTCATATGTTCAAATTTATTCAGGTGATGTACCTGCTTATTTGAGTAAATATTTCTTGTGAATGAACAATTCATTCCAGCAATTTCTGTTCACAATTATAGCACTAGCTTTAGGGTCTCTAATGAGCAGTTAAATATGTCTTTTCCTTAGAGTGGTCACTAGTAAAAAATCATTCATTTATTAAGGTTATACTTTCTATTTATAAAGGTTGTACTTTGAGGAATTAGGTTCCTTAAAGTATAAAATATTTTAAGTCCTTTGGTGTTTAAGGTCACGATAAAATACACTTTACAGCTCAGTTCAGGTAAAATATGATAAACAAGATCAATGAACGCAACCCCATATGATCCAGCAACAAGAACCAGTGGCAAGGAGCCCAGGCGGACCCCAAACAAAAACAGGACAGGGCAAAGACAGAGCACGGACAGGTTAATCACTAAATGATAAATAATCTGTAACTGATTAGGAATTCAAAGAATTGAATAATAGGCCCACAAAGGGGAAGGGGACAGGAGACCGGGGGGACGGGGGGGGGGTTAATCAAAGAAATAAAAAACTAGTGGTAATGGGGAAGATACTTACCGTAGACGAGAAAACAACAAGGGACACAAGCAAAAGTGTCACAAAAACAGTATGAAACAACATAGACATACATCTGAGGAACACATAGGGGCGCCGCCTTGGAACGGTCATCTGCATAATATTGACTGTTGGGGAGTTTAAACCGGTTAATGGTGCCCCAAACCTCGCTCTTAGCCCCACCATGTTCCTATAAACGAGACAGTATAAATAAAATGAATCCCCGCCAAGTGAAATACTAACAGTTGTCACGGTTACAAAAGGTTAAATAAGTAAAACACTAAAATGATCATGTAGAAACATATAAAAGTAAACCCAATGACCATAACAAAAGTACTCAATGTCCTAAAGGAAGACAGAGCAACAAGAAAATCACCTACAAGGGCCCGACGAAGCAAGGCAGAAGACGAACATTAAGACAATTCAGCCCCAAAAGGGCTTTAAGAACTATCCATCATAGAGTCTCCCACTTGGTCCGTCAGATAGCCTGTTTATAAACTCATGGGCCTATTATAAGTTAGACAATATATCGAGTATTCTTCTCCTTTCTGTCAAAAAGAGTGATCTTTAAGTATTAATTCGGACTTTTTCAAGATATTGACTTTTATTGAAAGACAAAAATATGCTCTTTATATTATTGATAACTCATTAAAAAGCCTGAAAGTCCTCGAGGCGTTTGTTCATTCTATCGACCATGATGGAAATACTAAAATCCGTTACCATACTATTGGGAAATTATGCAAATAATATGAAGCATAATTAGTTTAAGCGATAAAATAATATACATGTATTGTGAATAATTTTGATTTTACTGTTATAAACATTTTGTCTAGTCTTCAAAGTATAGCACACTGGCTTAAACACGACTTGGAAAATGTCACAAAATCGATGTTCGTTTACTGCTAAGCAGAGTTTAATGGATCGCTGCGGATAAGAACAGGATGCTAAACTGCCGCACATACATGTACTGTACATATCCTGTCCACGGATTGCGAAACCATCTGCCTTGTGAATTCCAAACGTTCCATAGAACGACTTTTAACATTGCAAAGCTTCACCCAATATATCAGGAGAGTAAGTTTTTTTAAATACATGTACAAAGATATAGTGGTCATCACCACAGAGAGTGCATTTCCGAGGATCTGCAAAATCAAGACAGCAAAATCGTCAGACGACTCGGGTAATGTGTTGTTATAAGACGATTAGAAAACAGTTAAAGTCAGAAGATTGAGAAGGTAACACAAAGCACATCACGTCTAATATCGATATCAACATAACAGGTATGCGACTGTTTAACATATGAAAATATGGCCTTCTTTCGATTTCTAGAACAAAAATCACGTGGTCCCATTTTTCCATATCAAATATCTTAGTTTCTTTTATAACTTTGACGTTTTGAAGAGACCATTCTCGTTTTTCTAAGATGCTGTGATCTTGAGGTCTCCAATCGGCGTTCAAGTTCACAAGTCGAAAAAATGACCAAGAACGAGTTCATGAATGTAAATCATTTGAACATGTTTGTTTGTCAAGTGGAAATTTCTTGAGAAACAGTTTATAAATCTCACCCCAGATCGTTACGCGACCTTTACGGTTAACCGTGCCATTCCATTCATTTTCACCGAATCAAATATCGTCCCAAATGTGTTTTGTAGGGCAATATCAGGAACCCAGATATTTTCATTTCACCGAATCAACTATCGTTCGAAATGTGTCTTGTAGGGCAATATCAGGAACCCAGATATTTTCTGTTGGTACTGTAATTGATTCCGAACAATCAAAGCGTTGCAGAACAAACACAAGAAATTCATCTCTTAACTGAATATCTACAACTCCAAGAACGGATATCATCTGCTGTTGTATTTCTTTTATCTACGCCATGAATTGAATAAACAACCAAATTTAGAATTACATTTACCTCTTTTGTTACATCTTTGTTTGGAGGTGCGTCTTTATTGTGGCCATTGAACATATTCATGTATGTTCGTTGCATCTAATTTTACTTCTACAGAAAATAATGCAAACATCCATGATATAACATCACGAAGCATTTCGACTACATTATATACGTAATCTAACGAAAACGCGCTATATAGTTTTATGACATTCTTCAAATACTTAAAATTAATAAAGTAAGTTTAGCAAAGCAAGTACACTTTTAACTGCTCAGTAACAAGACTTGTGTAAGACATTAATGGATAGGACATTAAAACAAAATAAGAATAGACTAGGAATAGTTAAAAGTGCCATGCCTCACAAGATTTTCATCAAACCTAATGAGATGATAAACATCACCGGCTTCATCGACAAGAAGATCGATTACAAGCCAACTGCAGCAATTATACAGGAAGCAAGCGACACAACTTTACCTGATTTCATAGATGTTGAACCAAGTGTTATCAACTATTACTATCGAAATTCAAGAGAAGTAATCGTTACACTCTCCAATTTGACCACCAACACTGTTACCATTCCACCAAGATCGACGATATGTGAATTACATCCAGTCACAATTACAGATGAAGTTATAGAAATAGTAGAAGAAGAGGAGTTAGAGAAGAAAAGAAAGAAAATAGTTACAGACTTGAACATAGATCAAGATAACATTCTCGACAAGCCACAAAAAGAGAAGCTTCGAGATTTACTGATGAAGCATAGAGACATATTCAGCACAAGCGATACAGATATAGGACAATGCAACAGGATCAAGCATAGGATCCTACTCCCTTCAGACAGAGACATCGAAGGATTCCACCCTCTATGGTAGATGAAGTAAGGGCTCACATAGAACACCTGTTGTCCTGCGGAGTGATACGACCATCCAAATCCCCTTTTGCATCACCAATAGTCTTAGTGAGAAAGAAAAATGGAAAGATCAGACTATGCGTAGATTATCGCAAGCTCAATGACAAGTAGAGATGGAAGAATCACATAAAGAGCGGACAAGTTTCACAGTTAGACCATTAGGATTCTACGAATATAATAAGATGCCTTTCGGACTTACTAATAGTCCAGCAACAATCAATGTCTCATGGAGGGTTGTTTAGGGGATATGAACTTGAAAACTTGTATAATTTACCTGGATGACTTGATAGTTTACAGTAACACATTTGACGAACACCTTGTAAGATTGGACCAAATATTGACTAGAGTGAAGGAGTGTGATCTGAAGCTTGCACCATAGAAGTGTTTCGTTTTCAAGGAAAGAGTTAACTTTCTTGGACATGTTGTTAGCAAGGATGGTATAGAGACAGACCCTTCTAAGATTGAAAAGGTACGAAATTGGCCATCACCATCAACACCAAAGGAATTACATTCTTTTTTTAGCCTTTGCTGGATATTACATGGGGTTCATTAAAGACTTCGCAAAAATAACACGTCCTCTAGCGGAACTAATCCCATATCCATCTACAAAGAAAGGTCCAAGACAAAAAGAAAACACCAAGGAATAGAACTGGACAGAACACTAGCAAGAGATTTTTGATAAGTTGAATGTTATCCTGTCATCTCCGCCAATACTC